ATTAAAATTTTGAAGATATTCTAGTGAAGGTGGATGTAGGTTTAGTCCCACATCGATTGTATGTCAAAGTTTTGGACAAATATATAATAATATCAAATTTAAAAGTAATGAGTCCCTTTATCACGTGTGTACGACCACTCTTTGTCTCATAGCCAGTTGGCTATTAGTGATGTGGAAAGAGAGTGGCGCGCATGTCCCCCCATGAGTCCATAGCCACTCAAGCCCCTTACTTGTGACTCTATCTCGATTGTGCTACTAACTCATTTGTACGCACAGTTGGTTAGTGGGTCCCCCCTTTTTTCTGTCTTTTTATTTTATTTTATTTTTCTTCATTTATCTTAAAAATAAGATAATAAAAATTATATAAATTCACATAAAATCATATAATTAGCTAAAAAAATCATATTAATCAATTAAAAACTACTTTTTATAATTTAACACATATATAAGTCTATTTATCATGAATTAAGTTTAAACTATATTATTTATTAATTATTAACTCATGATAATAAAAACTTATAACCCATTAAGGTAACCTTCATCCATTAAAGTGCTCCTAATTTATTGTTGATTTCTATTAAGATCTGCACACATAAAAACTTGAAAATATTTACTAGTAATAAAACTACTTGACTTTATAGTAGGGTTAGTCAAAATCATACACAATTTATGTGTAGTGTGTAAATAGTAAAATTAATACAAAATTTTTGAATTTTTTAATAATTATATTAATAACATGATATTTTAAAGATTTAAATAAACAAAAATCACATAAAATGTAAGGAAGAATGAACACACATATCATGTTATCGGTATTTTTTTTCTTTAAGGTCGAATTAGAATATTATTGTTGAGTTTGTCATTTTATCCACAAACTTAAGTGACATGTTATTGTCCAAGTTTTATGTTGTAGCCTTTTGATCATTTTTCATCTCAAATTTTTCTTGTCTCATATAGGTTGTCCTTGATAATGTATTTGCAAATGCAAAAATAATGAATGTATATTTTTATCTTGTAGGTCAAGAGATGTGACTTAGTCATTGTATAATAAATCATGCAAATTTAAAATTTAAAAAACTAAAAAATATATAATTTTTAATTTGTAGAAGTATTTTAAAAAATAAATCAATTATAATTCAATAAAATGTTTCAAAAATAGTGGAGAATGTTTAGGTCAATCATAAGGATGTAAGATAATATTGAGTAATATTTTAAAATTTTCTCAAAATAATATAATTTTTTTATAATTTTAAGACTAAATGATGAATATAAAATATATTCAAAAACTCGACGAATGTGCGTTAGATGAAAATTGAGTTGTACTTGACGATTCTTACATAAGTAATTACAAATAATTTAATTAGTCAAAATAAGATCTGTAAAAGATAAAATAATCATAATCGAATGAAGAATAATTTATAAACTTTAAATCATACAAAGTATCACTAAATAAAATAAAAATTAAGTTGAAAGTAGGAAAGGCAGAGTTTTAGCTCACGATAGTGATCACTGGATTTTTGTGTGTTCATAATGGTTATTGTGCGATGTCTATGGCCTCTAGGGCTCTCATTGGATATGGATGACTTGAACATTTATTGAATCTCCTTTCAAAGTTCAAAAAATGATGGTAGAAGTTAAACTAATTAAATAATGGTAAACTAAAGTTTTGGTGTTGTGATAGTGATGTGTCAGTAATGTGTCAGAATATGAGCATTTGAGAGGATTGTCATGTAATATCTATGACTTTACAAGTTCTTTTTGGAGAAAGACGACATGAATAACTTTTAGATCTTTTTACAAAGTCTAAAAATTAATGAAGTGGGTTGTCAAATTGTCTCTGACGATTGTCATGTGACAAAGTGAAAAATGATGACTTTGCCACTCTTCGACAATTGTCACCTAACATAGTAGAAAAATAGTGACTTTGCAACTCTTTGATAGTTGTCACAAAATAGAGATGAGTTGGATGAAATGTGGTGTGTCTTAGAGAGCTTTAACTTTAAGTCTGCATGACAAGAGGAAGTTTTTCATCACATTTAATATGCTATTTAGAGGTGGCGACTCGTCTCTCACCAAATCATCCTCTTCCCAATAATAGTTTATTTGTCGATCAATAAAAGATGATTTATTTGATAGATTTGTAATCTTTTCATTATAAATTATTCAATAATATTAGTAACGATACTTCACAAATCACGTGTTAAAATTATTATCGATGATTGAGCGATTATGATACCTTAATTCTTCACCAACAATCTATAAGAATATATCGATTTAATCAGATAAAAAATATGAGTTTTGACTTTAGAAAGATTCAAATCTTTGTTGATTTCTTAACTATATGAGAGAGAGTGAAATTAGTACTCGAATACCTTTATATAGTGACGTCATCAATGTATCTCACTCTTATAAATAAGAGCTATTTTTAAGTATTAAAATTACTGAAAATCTTTGAGAAGTCGATTTAGTCTCACATCGATTATTTGATGAGTTTTGAGCTTATATATAATAGTAGAAGATGTTATGATCAATAAGACTCTCTCTTGCATGTGTTTGACTACTTTTTGCTCCCACACTTGATAAATCACTAGTGATGTGAAAAGAGAGTAATGTACACATGTCTCCCTTATCAATTTATCCTTAGATGCTAGAGCCCACCACTTATGACTTTGCCTAATTGTGCTTTCAACCTACTTTTGGGTCTGATTGACTAGTGAGTTCTCCTTTTTTTCTATATTTTTATTTTATTTTATTTTTATTTATTTATCTCAAAAATATTATTATAAAAATTATAAATATTTATATACATTTATATAATTAACTAAAAATTTACATTAACTAACTAATTTTTATATAATTTAACATAAATATAAACATATTTATCATGAGTTAAGATTAAGACTATATTATTTATTAATTATTAACTCGTAATAATGAAAACTTATTATCAAACTTAAATACAATCATTTTGTTATTTTCTCTACATAACATTCTAATATGTCAGCATGTAAGCCATACACCGAAGATTTCTCTACTTTCTTCTTTGTTTAATAAAAATAGTTCAATTTAGTTGTCATATAAGACTTGAGATCAAGTCTTGTTTAAGTCACTGATGATTTTATTTTATCATAAATATTTAATCAACTTTTCACATTGCCACTATAGTGTTCTTGATTTAAAATTCTACTTATACTTTTGTTTGAATATTTTTTCTGTCATTTTCCTAATTTCACATAGCTTGCTTTCTAAGTTTGAATATCATATATGTTATTATATGTGTTTAATTTTTTAGATATTTTCTATGCTAACACTTTTATCTTTTAGTGCTCACATGCTGCATTTGAATCCCATGAATAACTTTGTCACACATTGACACAAGTTATTATGTACTTTTATTTTATTAATATTGCATTGTATATTATTTCAACATAAAAATATATTTTAATAACATGACTCATTGAATTCGTTGTTATTCATAGTGTTGCATAAAACATTATCAATAGATGTAATTTGAATATTTGTTAATAATATCTAACATGTGACGTAAATAATCATGATGATTCAATGAATTATATAATAATTCACTCAAGAATAATTCTTGAAAAACCGATAGATAATCATGGTGATACAATGAATATAACTTTGTCACATGTTGACACATACAACATTTGATAAATTTTATATTATGTGTCAAAACCAAAGACATCTACATAAACTAAATATTAAATATTAATTAAAAAATTATTTATATTAATTAAAAATAATTTAAAAATAAATGTACTAGAGGAATTAACAATCTTTCTTACATTACAAATTAAAATAGTAAAATATTGTCATATTCATATTTGGAAAAAAAATACTTATGAGATCAAATTATAAATATAATAGATGCATCCTATTTAGTATGTGCTAACGTAATAGATTTTAACATAATCTTGAGGAATCCTATAAATGGGGCAGTTATAAAGGATGGCTTCTTGGGCTAGTGTCTTTGTGAATGAGAGATCTTTCTGACCAAGCGTGTCTTTTAGGATTTTTGATTAGAACTCCGAAAGCATGTTTGATGGGTCGAAGTGTTCTGTCGGATCCCAATATCGGGGAAGGTGATCTAGGTCTAACCTTTCCTTCTTTTGACCTGGTTTATCGCAAATTTTTCGGGAGTGACCACAAATCACTCAGAGCGTGTAAATTAAGCCAGCCTCCTAGGGTTCCGACAGAGATCACTCCGCGTAAGTCCTCGAGAGCCGCTTCACCACTGGGGCTCTACAGGTTGTCGTCTCCGCCATCTCCCACTCTTCTCCCTCTCCTCTCCCTCCCTCCGTTCTTGTGTGCGTGCTCGTACTTGGTCGCTCCCGTAGTTGCTGTCCTATCTTCCGGGCTAAAACCCTACTGCCTAAACCCGTGATGTGAGGAAGGGGAAAAAACTCGAAACCCTAACGCCGCCTGCAGCGTCACGACAGTCAGACGGCCCCGGGTGCCTCACCGCGCTCGCCCATTCTTGGTGGGCGCTGACTCTCTTTTGGTTTGCATGCTGTTGGAAGCAGGTCGCTCTTGGGTGACACCTTCCTCTCCTTTTCTCTGGAAATCCTTGTGACAAAGTGAGGGCGTCGCGGCGTCTGTCCATCCAGAAGGTATGATTAAGGGTACCTCATGCTGTCCGACCAAAACACAAAATCCCTCTCTCTATTTCTCCCTCCCTCCCTCTCCCTCTCTTCTTGGCGGCGTCTCTTTGGTGCTTTCGTTTGGTGGCTAATACTTCGCAGATCTTCTAATTTTGGGGGATATCGGTAGCATTGCCGTGCTGCTGACATGCTCTGATCGGCATTTCTTTAAATGAAACCCGTTCCCTTTTATCCTACGGGAAAATGGCTCTTTCTTGCCCTCTACTTGAGCTCTTCCTTCAAATTAGCTGGGCTTGCGTCTGATTTCTGTGCTTCGGACCGAAACAACAGGCATTCCCCCCCGGGACGATAATCGGTGCTTGCAGAACTGACCTATAGATGGCGAGTAACCCGCAGTCCTCAGGGTCACAGGTCCTCGTCCATTCTTCTGATATTTTACCTTTCCTTTTTTCGTTGGTACACTTAATCCACTTGCTGTTTCACTGAGATCATTGCCTCTGGAACAGCCACTCCGGCCTCCTGTAGTAGGATCGCCTGGTGGCCCTCCTCTTCAGAACTTTGGACCGCCAATGTCTATGCAGGTGAGGAAGGTAATCTTTTTTTGTATGTTTCCAGACTTATGCATATGCTGGTTGGGCTTTGTTTTCATGGAAGGTAACATTTTATTTTGCTTACTCCAGTATAGACCTGTAGTCCAACCTCAGCAGGCACAACAGCAGTATATGCCACCAGTACCCCAGCAGTATTCTCAGATTGGTCCACCCATGCCGAACGTTGGGATGCCCCCCGGCCAGCCACAGTTACAACAATACTCCCAGCCAGGACAACAACTACCCCCAAGGCTGGTTCAACCAGGTCAAGGTCCTCCTGGATCGCAGCCTGTTCCAGTGCCATATGCCCAGCATGGCAGGCCAGTTTCCTCAGGGATGATGCAACCACAACAAAACGTTCAGCCACCAGCTAGCCATGTGCCTGCTATGGGTGGGCCAACGATGCCTTACAATGTCAGCTCGTCATACACTGTAGGACTTCTTTACCATAAGTTGAACTTTTACTTTTGTAAGAGTCCACTTGATTTAATTTCCTTACCCTGGAAGAAAATTATGTTTTTGAATGTAGTATACAACATCTTATGGGCAACCGCAGAGTAGCATTGCTCCCCTCACCCAATACCAGCAAATGCCCCAAATGCATGCACCTCCGGTTGCTCCAGGAGCACAACAACCTTGGTTACAAACAGGAAGTCAGAGTACACCATTGTCTACGGCAATGCTGCAAGGTGTTCAACAGCCTTCAGTCTCAACGGGTTCCATTCCTGTAAGATAAATTATTCTCTCCCTCTTTCTCTCTCTCTTTATATGTCTGCTGATTATTTTACATTCAAAATCATTTTATTCGTCATTACCTTTGATGCCAAGTCGCCTTGAAGTTTCTGTTTTTATCCTGAATATTCCCTTTTAAAATGGCCGCTCTACAGACGAGTTCCACTCAGCAGTCGACTGATTGGCAAGAGCATGCCTCTGCTGATGGGAAAAGGTATTTTAATAGGTTGTACTGAAGATCTAGGTTCCACTTTAGTTTCATGTCTCGGACTTCAATGATTTGTTTCATAACTTCTTGAATATTGCAGGACAGATTTTTTATTCTTGTAATTGTTCATCTTTTAAAGTTTTTTCCCTTCGTCTTAACTCTTAGGTATTACTACAATAAGAAAGTGCTCTTCATCTTAACTTTTAGGTATTACTACAATAAGAAAACGAGACAATCAACTTGGGAGAAGCCTCTTGAGCTGATGACACCGATTGAGGTGAGTTAATTGCTATGCATTTTTGACCTATTAATACCCTATTTATAGCATCAACATTTATTTATTTGATGTTCACACAATGGAATGTATAAATGTTTAGACTAACTTTATTTACTGTTCTTGACTGTCGTGTACTTAAACTGAACAAAATTGTTTTATGCGGATCTTTGTTTCCTTGCATGTTCTTCCGCTTGTTTGTAGATGTCTTTTGGCTCATGGGGAGAAAATAACAACTGCTCTGTATGCTCATTATGAAGACGGATTTCCATATTCTCGAGGCAGGCAATATTGCTATTCATCTTTCAGTACATAAGGGGAATTTTATTTTACATAGCATTGCATTATTTTCATCCCATTTGTCAAAATTAAGTTTGGTTTTTTGGCAGTTTTGTATGTCTTATCTTTCTTACATTCTTTTTGCTAAATATAGGTTACCCTGAAAATGTGCATGGGGAAGAGGCATCCCAAGATTCTTATTTTGTTTCTTTTGTCTGAAATTGCTTATTTTGGATTATGTAGAGATATGATGGTGCATATTTCTCTTCAGACAGTCAGGTTAATGAAAGCCAAAGCATTATACTGATGAAATTTGCACCCTCTAGGCTGTTAGTGGCAACACTGCTTCTAAACTAAGTGACATCTTATGAAGTTCCACTATCTCGTAGTTGAGGCTGCTGGAATCTCAACCCCGTCCATCAGTTATTGGTTGCAACTTTCTGTCTCCTGTTTTATTACTCGGCTCATTTTTTTCCTGGGCATGTATCAATATTAATTTATTGACTTTTCTTTCATCATACATATCGGGATGCTGATATTTATTGATTTTATGTGATTCACCTTCTGTTTGTATATCCAGATGTTTTCTTTGTTTAAGTAGTTTCGTTCTTACTTATTTCTTTGGCAATCTGTAATGCAACCGGTTGGCTGATAAGTTCATATAATTTGCTTGATTTTGGAAGTTTCTAGAGTCTGCCCTCAGGTTCATGATGTACATCTTTTGTCGAAGGTATGGAGTACGATTTTATGAGTGCTGAAAGCTTGTCTCAAGTGCAAAAATTATCACGTTCTCATTGCTCGACAATATTTTGCATAGTAACATTAGATTTTTATTTTTATTTTTTAAGGACTTTATTTCTTATGCCCTATGGTGTATTTATCTCCTTCAATCAAGTCATAGAATTTTCGAATTTAGATGACTTGATACATGTGGAATGTTGTTGATTGAAGTGCGTTTATTATTCAAAGATGAACATTGGAATCAATTGATCGTTTGGGTCCAAATGTCTGCACAGTATCAAACCTTATGTAATTGTGGTTCGATATCAGGTATCACATGAACGTGTTTTTATAGTGTAATATCATAGCTTCTGTATTTGAAAGACTTGTTTGTTTCTCATGCTGGGAACGCTACAGGCCATCTGGAAGAATAAGTGGTTTTGGGGGCGGGGGTTGGTTCTCTGGGCAATTTGCAACGTCTGTTGTCATTGCAGAGAAGTTAGTTGTGCTACTTCTTGGCTGTAGTGCAGTCCAGTAGTTAACATTCACTCTTGGTGTTGGGTATTAAAAGATCCCAAGAATTGTGGCCTTCAAGAACATAGTTGTCTGGTGTCTCAAGTTTGGATAATCAAGCAACTTGTTTGAGCTTGGCCTGGAGTTAGTCCTAAGATATGCGGCCACTTGAAGAGTTAGGGCTATTGTTGGAGTGCTCAAGCCAATGGGAACCATGTTGGCGTGGCGTATCATGCGACTTTGTTGATGATATTTTTGTTAATAGCTGAGTTGTGTTAGTTACTACCTGTACATTACATTGGAACAATGCCATTTAGTCTAAATGCTATATTCAATTTTTTTAATTAGTATTATGTGATGTCGCTTTCTAAACTTATACGGAGTCCGTTTCCAGGATTAGACGTTTGCAGTTTTTCATTCAGTTGGTTTAGAGTGTGCTGTAATTATTCGGAGTTTGGCTGCTCGTGAAGAAATTAGAAGCTTGAATCTCCCCAACTGATTAGGAACACTTTTCAGCAACGCCATTAAATGGGTTTAATGCTACGATGCATAATTTCTCAATTGCTATAGAGATTAAAGTGTTTACCTTTTCCTTGTCTGTCTCTCTGCTTGACAGGTGAAAATTGTCTTGGAAACTACTTATTTATGTACAAAGGTTTATGAGGGCTTCCACCTAGATTTGCGAATCACTTTAAGGCTTCAGATCTAGGTCATGCTTACTAGAATAAGCTGCCTTTCGGTTGAACTTTGTGCTTCATTCTTCTAGTTTCTAAGTTGTATAAAATTCAGTGTTTTCACGTGCATCAAGGCCAAAAGAACTCCTTGCTTTTATGAAGTGTACTAATATATCTAAATGATATTCATTTCATGCTTATTATTTTTATCTCAAAAGCTCAGATTGACATATAGTATCCCGCTAAAATGCTACGTGAAAAATATACGGGCTAGAGAATCTCTCCTGTAGTGAACTGTGCTTGCATATGATATGGTTGTCTCAGTTCTGGTGGAGGCACTCGAATTCAATGTATTTCATTTTGGAATCTTTAAATACACGTGACCTTTGTGCCATATTACCTTGACAGTCATCTTTCGTTGATGATTGCCTGAAGATTGCCTGGCTAAGCTTTCACATCTTTCTTCAGTGTAATCTAAACTTTTGTGATATCAAAATTTTTAAATATAATTTATTCTTGAATTGTCTAAGACACTTTATGTAATGTGTTTTTGGGGTTCTTAAGTTGTTATGAAAATCAGTGGTCTTCATGCTGTATGGGTTTTTGCACTTTTCTAGAAATTTTATTGGTATTACTTTTCCTTGATATGCCTTGTGAAATGCAACCTTCGTTTCCCCGCTATTAGCGGCTTATAAATCCTGTTTTTGTTGCCACAGAGGGCTGATGCATCAACTGTTTGGAAGGAGTTCACTACTCCAGATGGCAGGAAGTGGGTTTTAGTTTTTCACTTTGAACCAAGTTATTCTGTTTTGTTGTGATCCAGATAGCACTCTGTGGATATTGCAGGTACTACTATAACAAAGTTACAAAACAATCAAAATGGACAATTCCTGATGAACTGAAGGTTCGTGATAGTCCCTTCAGATATTCTATATTTCAGTAGTTTGCTTTCAAACTCTTTTGATCGTCGCACATCCTTCCCTGCATGTGTTGTATCTGCTTTCCAGTTGGCTCGAGAGCAAGCAGAAAAGGGTGCAGCTCAGCAAGCACAGTTAGAAACGTCTGCTCCTGCTGCAGCTTCTGTTTCTGTAGAGATACCATCATCCACTGCAACCAGTGGCACAACTTCTGTCATGGTGTCTGGTGTAACATCCAGCCCTGTTCCTGTGACACCTATTGTTTCTGCTGTAAATGCAACCACTGTGGCGGCGTCTGGGTCACCATCTGTATCCACGGCTGCTCCTGCTGCAATTCCAGTGAGCACAGGCTTGGGAGCTGAGATCATTCCTCCTGTGTCTGTGTCTGCTTCAGAAAATGCTTCTCTTTCTGCATCAGTGGATGCTACAGCCACAACAACAAAGTATTGGCTCTACTGACTAGTTTTCTTTTGATAGTATCTCAATTTGTGTACATTGTGAACTAATATGATATTGTTATTATTATTATCTGATATTAACACTGGCATATCTAATTTCTTTGTTTCTCTCTTCTCGGTTTTAGAAGTCTTGATGCCACTTCAACCCAAAATGTTGAAGCTATCATAAATGGTACTTCTGCTCAGGATCTGGAGGTAAGATAATCTTGAGTTAATTAGCTTCGCTAGATTTTCTCCATTGTTAATGACAAAATTGTCTGCTGCATGCCTAAAAGTTAATCAGATTATGATAGTTATCATAAATGCCTAATCATTTCTTTACTTGTAGTTAGCATCCTATGGTATTAAGTGGTTCTTAACTGATCTGATCGCGATTCATGAATATTCAATTTGAATACGGTCTAAAATTTTTATGTTTCGCGTTCCAAAGTTAATCAGATTGTATTCAGAACATTTTTCATTTGTTTCTTTGCGGTGTATGCAGTTGTTTAGTCTCCATTGCTAAGTAAACGTTGACTATTACTGTCTTGTTTTTGAAATCCATTCCAGAAAGCTTCTTTTGTTCTTCTTGAGATCATTGCGAGGAGACGGATATTGCAAATAATAGTTTGGTGGTCTGTGTGCTACAGATTTCTTTATAATTATAAGTCAAGGCTGAAATTTTCTTTGTGAGAACGTTTTTCCACACATATGTGGTTGTCTCATGAGATTGTGTCAGCTTCTTTCGATTCGCATAGTAGTCACATCCTGTTCCACTGCCTTTAAGTATCTGTACTCTTTGGTAAGCTTAGAAGAGTGATAACCTAGTGTTTTGTGTTTTTCATTTCATTTCTTAATATTTTTACTAGCTTCTCTATGATGGTGCTTCTTGCTTTTCTTGGGGAATTGATCTCTACTGTATTTCTTGAAAATTTTTAGTGCTAAGTCGCTGGGTTTGAAGCTGCCTCTAATTTAGCAGTGATTCCGATCGAAGCGACGGGCCCTTTATTTGTTTTGGATGGTGCTAATAAATGAATGATCTTCTCCGTTTTACGCTTTTAACTGTGTACTGCAAGAGGTCTTGATTCTGTTACCATATTCATTTAATGCCTTTGCAGGAAGCAAGAAGAAAAATGCCAGTTATTGGGAAGGTTAACGTTACTCCAGCGGAGGATAAAACAGCCGAGGAAGAACAATTTATTTATGCTAACAAACAGGTAATGTCTTTAGTTGCTAAGCAATCCAATTCTTTCATATGATCAATTATATAATTATTTCTTTCAGGAGGCCAAACACGCGTTTAAAGCACTATTAGAGTCTGCAAATGTCGAATCTGATTGGACATGGGATCAGGTATATTTTCTTTTCTTATCATTCTGGTTTATTTGGCATTAATCTGAGGCTGTGACTTTGGAAAATTTATCTCAGGCGATGAAAGCAATTATCAATGACAAGAGATATGGTGCTCTTAAAACTCTTGGGGAGAGGAAACAGGCGTTTAATGAGGTAATCCTGTAGTGAACCTGCTCTGTTGAGTTCTTGGTTGTGCTCTGTTTTCTTTCCGTTTCTCTTTTTATTTCCTCTCTCTGTGCTCTTTTCTGCTGATCACTTGTTCCGCTTTCATTTCATGGTTATCCTTGGTTTTCCTAGAGCATTTCGGGCAATCTCATTCTTTACTTGATTTATGATGACATGCCTCTTACCTTTGATTATATTTCAGTACTTGGGTCAACGTAAGAAGCAGGAGCTCGAGGAGAGACGCATTAAACAGAAGAAAGCTCGAGAAGATTTTACAACAATGTTGGAAGTAAGTTACATCACACTTGTGTATATTAATAATTATTATCTGCTCCTTTTCTGACGGTTCTTAATATGCCAATTTGTGTAGGAGTGTAAAGAACTCACATCATCTACAAGATGGAGGTGCGGTTCTCTCTTCCTTTACATCTTTGTGTGCATCCTGCTCTCCTTTCTTCCCACCGTGTGATATACGTTCATGGGTGATGCTATACCATCAGGGAACTACTTATGTATAGTTCTTTTTCCATTCTCCCATGGAAGTCGATTTCTAAGGACTGGGTTGCTTTGATGAATTTATATTGCTTGCTGTGTTTTGATGAATATGTATTAACTTCAAATGCGTTTTACTTTTTATGCTCAGCAAAGCTGTTACCCTGTTTGAGGATGATGAAAGATTCAGTGCTGTTGAACGACCAAGAGAACGTGAAGATCTTTTTGAAACTTACAAGCTAGAACTTCAGAAAAAGGTTTCGTGCAATATTTGTTTCGTGTAATATTTTTTTTATTTTGCAATCTTCTTGATGCCAATTCTTGTTTTATTGATGTGGATCAGATTCGTTCTATGCTAGTTTTGTCTTGAAATCATGAATTCCTTAGTAATGAAGACCGTCTCTTCATCTTTATGGTGAAAAAGTGGTTAGACAGCTGCCATTGGCATATAGATTCAGTAAGCCATTTGAATATATGATAGAAAAGAAAACTGTCCTTTTCCTTGCCAGCCTTAAGTCTGAGCATCCAATCAGGGTAGCCTTGTTTACTTGTGAGGAAAGGGAATCTTTCTCGTCGCTCCAAGGAAATGATGATCAAGATGAGATAATTATAGCTGATTATTTGACATATCTTGAAGAAATTTCAATACACTCAGACGGAATAAGCAGCTAATGACTTGTTCGTGGTATCATTATTTAATCAATACACAAGTTTTTCCCTCCACGTTCAAGGGTAAAGATCATTTGGATATGGCCGAGAAAGCCTAATATTGGGATAAAAAGGCATGCTCCATTGTTAGGGCCATGTACTGATATCCAATGATAAAGGCATGGAGTCTACATCATTTGTTAACCTGTTACATGCAAGCTGCCTGCTAGAATTTCACAGTTCATGCTAGGCTAGATGAAATACTGTAGGCAGCTCCAATGCTTGTGCTTTACAATCGGTGGGCTTTCCTCGATCAATAGGGACGACTCTGAATTTTTTCCGTGGTATGACTGTTTGGGGGAACATGAACTATGGCTTATTGGTCGTTTTCTACAATGGTGCTTGTCTACTGTGTGGTGTGGTGCAGTATTATTTTCAATGTTAATATCTTCAGATGTTTATATCCGTGTAGTTGCCACTACACATAATCCTTCAAATATTACGTTCAGAGTGTCAAGGATTCCTTATGAGTGGAAAATTGTGACAATGGTTCGCAGTCGGATGGCTAGTTATGTCAGAATTGGGAGTGGAATCAATCATGCTAGGTTTTGACGAGTTGATAGAATTGTTTCATCTTCAGTCTCTGGCATGTTACAATATCCCAGTCTCTAAACCCTCTTACAAAATCTCCTATCGAAGTTGCCAAATGTCAAAGTTGGAACACAGACTTCATAATATCAGGTTTCTAATGTAGTATTACACTATTATATCAATGAAAGGCAAGCCTGCTATGGTCTCATTGGTTATTGATGCTTGTTGTTCCATTTGTATTATTCAACTGACCATTGTCATAGAATTTCCTGTGCAATGTTAAATGTTGGCTAACTTTTTCATCATGTTGAATATGGTTGGATGCAGGAAAAGGCAAAGGCTGCAGAGGAGCATAAACAGAATATAATAGAGTACAGAGCTTTCCTAGAATCGTGTGACTTTATCAAGGTTTGTGTAAAGATAAAAATAAAGGAGTTTGCAGGATTTATCCTAAGGAAGATGGTCTCTACAATGTTGTTTTCCTGTATGGCAGGCAACAAGTCAATGGCGTAAAGTTCAGGATCGTCTTGAAGATGATGAAAGATGCTCTCGGCTTGAAAAGATTGATCGCTTGGAAATTTTCCAGGTACTTTCAATCCATATTGTCACCTATCACAGTTTTTGTTGACAATATTTGCTAATATATCCAATGGCAGGAATACATACGTGACTTGGAAAAACAAGAGGAGGAGCAACGAAAGATACAAAAGGTGCGTTCTGTTAAAACAATGTACATGGATCATAATCCCATAGTTTTGCTTATAAATACAGTGTTTATCTTATGTTCATGATTTAGGAGCAACTAAGACGAACAGAGAGAAAAAATCGTGATGAGTTCCGGAGGCTGATGGAAGAGCATATTGCTGTTGGCATTCTTACTACTAGGACTCACTGGAGAGACTATTGTTTGAAGGTATGTGGGTGGAAAGTTTTATTGAAATTAGAATTGTTTCCAATAACCATGAATTACGTATTCGTAATGATTTCATGGAACAGGTTAAGGATTTGCCACCATACATAGCTGTATCCTCAAATACATCGGGTTCTACACCCAAAGATTTGTTTGAAGATATGGCTGAAGAACTAGAGAAACAGGTTAATCTTTTTTGCCAGAATTGTTTAATAAAATTATCTTCTTTTGATTCTAAGTCAATTAGTTATACTTTAGTTATCTTGGTGTCCAACTTCTGTTTGAAATGTATGATGAGTAGGTGTTTTCCAAAGAGAAGTTTTATTTTCATCCTCTGGTTTCTCCCCATGGCGGACAGAATTTCCCTTTAGGCGCATCCTTGTCCTTCATTGAGCTGTCTGCTTGAATATTTTTCAATGTGTTTGAACGCTATGAGTTCAATAGTTCCATTTTTAGTGACGTTTATTATCCTTTAGTTGACTCTTTCATGATTGGAGATGTGACCTTGCGTTGGTACCTGACACGGATGTCAAAGTATTTTGGGAAGGAATGATTTTCCCGCATTCTTGCTATCTGAACCTCCAAAGAGACTTGCCATCTGTCTGAAAAAGTGGTCATATAAAACATCGTAAAAAGCGTTAATTTATGATGTTTCTCGATGTTAGTATTGTATGAAAATGCACCGGGAAAGGATACCATCTGTTTCATCTGTTCTGTGTTTTTTATTTAATTTTGGTTTATGGTGTTTTCTGATACCTGAGATTTCAGCAACATACTGAGTAGCGCCTATCTGAAGTGGCTTGTTCATTGGTTCCTTCTTCGTAGTATCTAATACTCCCTAGACCAAGAGCACCTTCATGTTTCCCTGTGCACGCTTTATCAGACTTTGGGGAGCGAATCGTTCTTCTCTCTGGGTTTTCTTTATTAGGAGGCTACAGATGTCTACAGATATCTTTCATCTCTTCACAGGACAGACTTGGGCACAAGTGGGAGGAAAATGGTGATATGCAAAGGTTAATAGAACCGTCTTCACATATTAAGCTCAAAGAGATATTAGATATCTTTTTTGGACCGGAGTGAAATGCTTATTTTCTTCTTCATTGTTTCTGTTGAGTATTAATTGGTGGAATTTGTGATTGTAGAGTAACATCTATTGTCGGATGTTGTTAAAATACTATTGAATCCTTGGTTTTCTTATTGATAAATCGGATGGATAATTTTTTTTTGCGACTGTGTGACACTCTCTGGCTGTTTTTATCAAAGTATGAAGGCTTCTCGCACATAACTCAATAGATTACATGTCCCGTCGTACTATTTTCTGTAGAATGGCTAAATGGTCAGTATACATATCTACCTCCCTTGTCATTCAATCTTTTACACTTGAACACTGTACAGAAGGTTTCTTCGCAAGATTTAAAAACTGTCATATTGGGGTCCAATGTGCGATTTTCATCTTCTTGCTGCTTTATGCTTTAAGCGCGTATTACAGAAGCCAAGAAATGCAAAATGCTTTGTTGCTACTAGACTAGAGTTTTCACAACGGCAGACTACCATTGACAAAGAAGAGGGCGAAGTAGTGAGCAGCTGAGGTGGTAAGGGTGCCTAGGATAACCTGTTGGCTTTTTTCTAATCCACAAATGACAAGAAAGATGGTTTTACTGAACCAATATAAGAGACCCCTTGCATTAGATATATTTCGGGGGTGACGAAGAGCACCTTAGGCAAACTAAATAATTTTGTATACCATTATGACGAAAGAAACACTAGATTACTGATGTAGCATGATATGGACATTTGCTGAAAGGAATATTTTGTGGGAGTTATTAGTTTTTAGAAAGTGGACATGACCAAGTGAACTAATGGTGTGTAGATCAGGGTAGATAACTACCTAGGTTTCCAGAAAAAATCGATCAAAGAAGAAATGCCTTACCCTCGCATTATACCAGGGAACATCTATTCAGGGGAAGTATCCCGCCAATGTAACAATTACTACATCCATTTGGTCCTTGTACTACATGTGTACCATTTGTTTGTCACCACCTAAGCTAAGGTCTGAGCTCAGCCACTAGTAATATTCATAATCCTGTTCTCCAAATGGTAAAGGTTATAGAAGCTTGTCTCCTGTAAATCTTATCCAGTAAGATCTCCAATGTATCAGCGTACAGTTTAACCTAATTCTTCAATTTACCAAGAACAGTGAACTCTAACTCTAATTGTGCATGCTAAAGTCTGTGGGTTTGGAGATCCGGTTCCCCCACATTTTGTTTTTGATTCCTTCTTCAAATGTGAACTGCTTAAAGTGAAAAAAGTGTAGCGAAATCGTTTTGAATTATTAAAAATTTGTCACGGGTCCTAACTGTTGCTTTTATGTAGGAAAATGTATGAATGTACAGAAAATGTAGTCTTGCAGTTTGATTATTATGGTTCATAACTATGAAAATACCATGTTACATTGGTTGTCGATATGAAATTGCAAGCCTGAATATTTGACCTTCGTGACCAATCTAAATATGACAGTTAGCACTTACGATTGTTTTTGCCCCCCCCCCCCCCCCCCCGGGCGAAAAATAGCACTTCTGAATGGCTGGGAGTGTGGTGATATTTTGAACATTCTGAGTAGCTGCGAACTATGTGAACTGATATAGCAAAATCATTCAGCTGTTTGCTTTTTAGTTAAGCTGTTATATGTAGTTGTGAGGTTCCGTGGGTCTTTTGAAGGGATATGAAGTTTTGGGCACGCTTTTCCCTCATGAACGTTTGGTAGCAATGACCTTTTATCTGTATTGCTGTAGGTTGACTGTATGGTCGTGTCTGAGGCTTTATATGCTACGCATCCAGGGATAAGAAATTTCGTCCATACATTTTTTCTCTTTGAATTAATCACTTATGGCGATTATTTCTTACAGGTCCTTTTCATGAGTACTACTGAGTTTTTGATGTGGACTTGTCTCATTTTGATAAGATTTAGTCACCTCTCATGCTGTTATCTCTCCACCATCAAACTGTTTGGAAATTTTTGGAACACCGGACTTCCCACATGCAACTACCTGTAATTTCGATGTCGCGTTTTTTATAAAACATGTACATGTTATTCCTTATTAAGATGTGAGGTCAGCTTGTTTTGTGTCTGCCATTGTTAAGAGCATTTTTCTTACAGCTTTCTTACCCTTTTTCTTGCTAGTATCATGAAGACAAGACTCGGGTTAAAGATGCCTTAAAGATGGGACAGGTGCACATTTGCCTTTGTTTTGTCTTCTCTTCTCTCGCATTACTCACATTTCTCATCTCAATGCAATTATTTTTGCAGATAACCCTGACAGCATCGTGGACATTTGAAGACTTCAAGGCTTCTGTTCCTGAGGATGAAGTTTTACAAAAGATATCTGAAACTAATTTTAAGGTAAGAAGTTTATGTTTATCAAGGAACTAAATGATTAACATCCGCCTTATTCAATATTTTTAGTTTGTTAAATATCCACCAAAGTTTTTCAGTATGCATCTAGTGATTAACAAAGAAAATATATCCGTAAATATTCCCCAGAAATGAAACCTGATCAATGCTACTTTAAAAGCTGATACGCATACAAAGGATACAATTTCTTCACTCAAAAAATTCTCTCATTTAGGTAAATATTATATTCTCCCTAGTTGAAAGAAGCTCACCTGTTTTCTCTCTGTCAGCATGCCCCAGTCATCATCATATTTCTTGATTTGTCATAGAAGTAGCCTTACCTTTTATTATCTTCCTGAACGTCCTGGATTTTTATTCGTTCTGTCCCACGCAGTGCATGGCACACCGGCATTCTGACGACGTGAGAAAAATAATGATATTTAATTTTTGTCACTATTCTGTTTTTAACTGTCACTTTTAGGACGAATAGTGGTCTATCTTCCTAGGTTTTTAGTGGGCTTGTGGCGAGATAGATTGGATGAGATTCCCCTCTGCTTTTTTAAGTTTGTTAGTCTCTTTTGTTTTTCCATCATGTTGGTGGAGCACATTGATGGTGGGTTGATTTTTTTTTTGAGATCTCTGTTATGCTTTAGTTGTTGGCTTGTTGAGAATTGACATGTTTCTCGCTGAATTATATAGTGGCTACCAGTCCGTGTGATCTTGACCGATTTCTTATGTTATTACTGTTTGCACTCCTGTGTTAATAGTTTTTAACTTCTTGAGTCAAAATGTGATATAACTGTTTTTGATGTTGCCTAATTTTTGATGTTTTATAACTGTTTGCGCTCCAGTGCTAGTTGCTTCTAGAGATATTTTTATTGAGGCCTTCATATTTACAATTCAATAAAGCCGAAGGGATTGCTATATCTGTTCAGGTCTGATCCATACTGGATCAGCCAGATTGGGTCATCCGAGGAATAAGCTTGGTTCCCGTATAACGAAAAAAGAGGAAAAGAGTAAGGATATTGTAAAGTAGAAAACGTACTGTTCTTACTGGAGAGGGAGGCTGATGGGAGTGTTAGACCAGTGGTAGCACCAGGTGGTATTGGGATGCTGGAATGGATTACCATTAACAAAGTCTATGAGGTTACACATCACTTTGGATTAGTTGCGGCTGGAGGTCTCCACATCCTTGTATGGTCCAATTTTAATGTGTTGTTTTTTGATGCGATTGAGAGAGGTAGGCCTATTTTGATTCAGAAACCAGTACTTTTGGATCTGTTATCCAAGTTGAGGCCCAGAGTTGGGTCTTCAAAAGTTGACAACCGACAATGTGTGGTTTCACACCTTAGTAGTTGTTTCTTTGTTACAGTCCCACATGGTGTGACCATAAAAACTAATTATGATGAAACTTAATCTTTCCATCAGCGTTTGGAACACCAATTCGGATACCCATAAATAATTCTATGGAACCCAGTATTTCTAAGAGGGCTCTTCCTTTTATCTTTTATAACGAAAATAATATTTATTTATAAATGCACATATTTTTTGGGCCGTTGAATATCTAATTTTGTTTTGGATAAATTTTATTCACATATGAGATTTAGTGCATGTTTACTCAAAAAGGTATAAATGATCGCGGAGAAGATAGCGATATAGAGGGTTTCGAGGATGGTTAAGCTTAGGCAAGGTTTTACCTGATGTATTCAAAGTGATATCCTGATGCTATTTTTCGGAGGTTGCACCAAAGCTGGATGTGCTGATAAAAGCGATGGTGAGGGCAGCTTTCTATTCGTCAGTTGGTGAGATGCTTATTGCCTTTGGACTACATATTATTGAGCATAAAAGTCATGCAGGGGTGGGATTTGTTCAGTTACCCAGTCTATCAGGCGTCTGGTTCTGGAAAAATTACCTCGCGTCCTCTTTGTAATCCACCTGTTTGAATGACTTAGTGGACGATAGGGAGTTTTCGCAATATTAAGGGAGACGTGACTGATGTAGGTGAATATAGAGCATTTAAGCTTTACTCATTTGAGCTCCTAGGTGATACCAGACCTTGAGCTTATGATTTTACTGGGTATTAGCCACTTTAGAGAAAAAAATTGAGATTTTATGGCCATATGTAATATGCCAATATTGTTATTTTATTTTAATTCTCTATAGGGTACCTGAAATTTTTACTTGTCCTTCATTTTTTATTGATCCATGAAAACTATCCAATTTTTATTAATTTGTGGCAGCTAACTTAATAATCATCTCCCTTTTCTAGAAGCAGTAGGGGAGGATATTACAAACAGGCTTCTTTTCGTTTCACCTTTCCAAATAAAGGGTGAGAGATATGAGAGATATGGTTAGAAAGAGGGCAATGAGGGATCGTAGTTAATGGGGAGCTAAATGCATATAACCGTGTTCTGTAATCTTGCTCAAGTTCAGACTGGCTTTTGCTAATTTGGGACCCTGTCTGATTGTTTCTCTTATCTGGACATGCACATCACACACTTATTCTCCAAGTTCTTTGGCTCTGTTTCGACTAAGACTTTCAGTCGTAGACTGAGTTTTAACTTGTGCTTTTCGATCTTTCACTTTGCCACACTTATTATTTATTTCTTAAGCCTTTCCTTCATGGCGGTTCCCTGTGTCTCTGTTAGGCCCAGGATCCTATCAGTCTCTAACCAAGAAAACTTACTATGATGTCCTAGGTAAGATAAACGGATCCAATAGCTACTACCAATAATTAGCCAAAGTACTTGATCTTGTAGATTCGTTCTTAGATATTCCTTTGCTTTTGATGAAGACTGTCGTTGTGGTGAATGGAAAACTGGTTACTGTGCTTACGTCTTCGATGATAGGTTTAAGTATGATATCCATGTATTGGAGATCTGGTTTTTTTAATAGATTACGAAGTCTTCATTATACATTGTTATGTATTTACCTTACGCTAATACTCCTTACACTATCGAAGCATGTAGAATATTCCTTTCGCAAATGTTTATTAATCCTCCAAAATTGGTTTTAGATTTCCATATCTTGGAGGCTTGTTTAAGTCAGCGATAAGTCTTACTTACACTGGGTAGTCTTCTTTATCTTCAGCTTATATTTGATGAACTAATGGAAAGGCAGAGAGAGAAGGAAGAAAAGGAAGCCAAAAAACGCCAGCGTTTAGCTGATAACTTTTCTGATCTGCTTTACTCTATAAAGGTATCTCGGTGCTCGTTTAAGTTTGATAGATGGCATTTACAGCTGAAGCTTTTGCATCATCATCACATTCCTTTAATGGGAAAATTTGTATCATTTCTGGTACTCTAGGAGATTACAGCGTCATCCAGATGGGATGATTGCAAGTCTTTGTTTGATGAGACCCAAGAGTACAGGTTTGTACCTTTTTCTCTGACTTCGATATTCTTTAAATGATTTTTGTGAGATATTGGTGTGTGCATTTTTAGATCCCTTGGCGAAGAGAACTTTGGAAGGGAGATTTTTGAGGAATATATATTGCACCTGCAAGAAAAAGTTAAAGAAAAAGAACGCAAGAGGGATGAAGAAAAGGTAACGTTTTCTGCTTCTCACGATTCAAAAGAAAAAAGTACCACCTTGTCCGTGCATGCTAGATGGAATCTTTATATTCATTTAGGTTGTGTTTAGTTAACTTTCATGCCATGGAAATTAATGTTTTTAGACAATCACCATTGGTATTCACTAAAATGTAATCCCTGCATCAGTTGACGTCGTAGGTTGGTTCCCCGACAATTTCAACCATCTTAATTGTACGTTATATTCTTCCTATTGTTAGTACCGTTTAATATTTTCCTGTAACGCACTTTCATAATTCTTTTTAGTTTTCAGTTTTATTTTACCAGCACTTGATTAATCCTTTCGCTCTGTCATTGGGCAGTAGTAAAATGGGAAGGTGGGTTCTCCTCATTTTGGCTTTATTTCTTGCTACTTTCTCCTTTTCCTTGTATCTTGCTGCTAAACGTATGCCTTTCATCTTCATATGGACTTATTACTAATTTCTAAATATTATAGCGACCTTTCTATTCTTCTTTCCGCGTATGGTTTGATGTTTATCTGATTATTACCTCCAAAGTAATGGGCCATTTTGGTGATTAGTCACCTGTATTTGATTGTGCCTGAATTGTGGCCGGTTTGACATGTCTAGTGGGACGAGTAACATAAAACTCAGATTTATGGGTGTATTCAATACTTCCAAAATGAAAGGGGAATTGATTCATGGCCGATTTTGTATCCGATAAATAAGAATTGCTGGTTATAGCTCGTGAAAAAAATTATTTTCCTAGTTAAGTAAGCAAATATATCTCTTTGGCCCCGGATTTTGACGGTAAGATCTCCTGCAGGCGAGGAAAGAAAAGGATAGAGAGGACAAAGAGAAGAGGGGGAAGGATAAAGAGAGAAAAGAAAAGGAGAGGGAACGCGAGAAGGAGAGGGGGAAAGAACGACCGCGGAAAGATGACACGGAGAGTGATAACATGGATGTGCCCGAGGGTGGCCATGGTCCAAAGGAAGACAAGAGGAAAGACAAAGACAGAGAGAGGAAACACCGGAAACGTCATCACGGCGTAGCAGATGATGTGAGCTCTGATAAGGATGAGAAAGAGGATCCCAAGAAGTCTCGGAGGCATAGCAGTGATCACAAGAAGTCCAGAAAAGTACGGATTCAAACTTCGCAACTTGTGCTTCGATGTTAATTGTGGCATGTGTTATTCAACTTCACAGCAACTCTTTGAATCTCACTGCTCTTCTTCCTCCCCTTATTCTGCAGCATGGCTACACCACCGACTCAGATAGTGAGAGCCGCCACAAAAGACATAAGAAGGATCGAGAGGGCCCCCGGAGGAACGGCGTCTATGAAGAGCTCGAAGACGGGGAACTCGGAGAGGATGGGGAAATCCGTTAGCCAGCCTTTTGTAGCGGGCGCCCGCCCATGTGTTTCCTTGCTTAAGTTGGCTAGATGCCAGGAGGCGCTATTGGGTGCCCCAACGTATTATGTGCCCCCAGTAGGCGTTCTACTCCAGCGGTCTAATCTTCTTCTTCAGGTTCCGTCCTCCTAAAGCCAGCCCAGCGTAACTGCGGAAGCACCCTTCTTGCGAATATTGTCTTACCTAGCTCACGAGAATGTATCCAATCCATATATATTCATTCCAGGGGCTTTTCTCATGCTCATTTCGTGTATATGTTTGCGAACGTTGGTCGTCTCCTGCTGTGAACCCCTCCCCCCCGCGCAGTATCTTCACGAGGGCGGGCATTGCTGTCTCTGGGGGGTGTTTATGTCAAATTCTGAGACCGGCCTGGAGAAGGGTTTCAGATGTCACGCGATTTTCGGATCTCAGATGCCGCCTCGTTAGCAGGGGAACCGGAGGAAGCGCGAAAAGCACCAGTTAAATTCATTTCTTTTTGATTAGTTTCGCTGCTTCGCGGGCAGGTTCCTGCAATCCGGGGAGATGTCGTAAGACGGTTTGTTCTTCGGATTTAGGACCTGGAAATGGTTTAACCTCATATTATGACTTTTGGTGGCACATCCCAGTAAGCAGCGGATGTACAAGGTTTCTAGATGACACTTGATGATGTTCTTTACAGATTTGGTTACGGGAGGGGGCACATGGACGGTAAGGCGCTGTTCTTGGGGAAAACAAGGGGAGAAGGAAGGAAGGAAGCCTCATGGAAGAGAAGGCCCCAAGCCACTGTGGCGTAGCAGCACAAAAATTAGTAGACGGAAGCAAGATGATTCCACTAGTGACATTATTCCAACCTATTTATAACCTGGTACACACAGTAAGTAACGATCTGTGCTCGGCGGTGGCAGCAGCAGCTGCGTGGCACCATCCGGCCAGACATATGCCCATGAAAGCATCGAACGACGAGTTTTGCTGGAGCAGATCAATGGGAATTATATCTCCAGGATGGTCCTCACCTGATTGGGGGTGTGGCGTGCCAAGGACTTTGGATCTGGATACTGATTTTTAGGGTCGGTGACTGCCTGGTAAACAAGCTCGTAGGTGTCTGCAAGGGCCCTTGCAACGAGGACATAAGCATGGGAACGCAATCTGGGAACCTGAATCAGCTCGAACTCAGGGAGGGAGCCCTCCGTCCCCATAACGATTCCAAAGAAACTTCTTAAGCACTCGAACAGCAACGGCGGCGACATCTCGTGTATCTCTGCCAGCGCTCCAATGTCTTCACGAGTTTCCTTATTAACCGACTTTTCAATAAAAGGCATCTTGCTCTGCAGACCGCACCTACTGAGGATAGCACTGACCTCACTGTCCACCAGAGCATTGACATTCGTCTCGATCATAGACCCCAGGTTGTTCATGTAGTTCGTCGCCACATCGTGCCCGACCAATGGTTGTTGAATGGCAGACAAGCAATTGATGAGGAAGATCTTGCAAGGAGTGTCATTGCTCTGCAATCAAAGAAGACTGACAAAGTGAGAAAAAAAAGAAAAAGCAGATAGTTCAACCTTGAAACCAGAGGACATATAAGGTAAACAATCAGCCACTAAAAAGAGATAGCGAGGAGACTAGCATGAGGGAGAGGGAAAATACAAAAAGCAAGAGAAATAATTACAGAGTAAGTTCTCTGTATGATATCTTTTTCACCGCTGCTTAGGTTCGCCATGCCAGTCACAGAGTCAATCTTTCTTCAAATACAAAGGAATACTTAATTTTTTTTCTTCCCTCTCGCGAATGAAATGGTGACCAAATTAGAAATCTAAATATAGGTTCCAGTCTCATGCAATTGCACATTTGCCTTATATAAGGTTGGTCAAGAAGTGTATCCGTCAATTTCCCTGATCTAATCCGTTAAAAATTTATAACTTCATTCGTCTAATCCGCTTTTGCAAAGAAAAGACAGACATCCTATCGATGACCTCCGACTTCTTAACATTTCATACGTATATCCTGTACATGAGCGATAATTGAAGGCTAAGGTTAGCAAGTTGTTTGAGGGTGATTGGAATAAAAACATAAATTTAGCTAAGGGACAATAATTTACGTAGGCCCGGAAAAGAAAATATAACATGGTGGTCGATTTAAAAGCCTAAAATATCAAATTACAAAAAAATTGTGTCCTGCATTTGGAACACCCAAACATAGGGATAGAACTGACTAAACAGGTCTTCTGCATTATCCTTCATTAAATTAGGTTCGTTCTCATGATTATAACACATAAAGCTCTTGCTAGGCCACAGTTGAAATATAATCAGCCTAAATGTGTACTCAAGTGTTCATCATCATTCAGTGTCTGGATGAGCTTCAGGGAGAAAAATCAGTGGAGTTGCTAAAATGTAAAACATGGAGAATCAGACTTCTCCAGCGAAGACTATCTTCTGTATTAAAATAAGACACGTGATCTATTATTGGTCATGGGATTTCATGTTACAACCCCATCCCTTTTTAATATCTTCAATCTAAGATTGTACTTCAAATCACTATTCATCTACTTTGGATTACCGAAGAAATCGATGTGAGGCATAAACTTTAAAGCATGAACCAGAAAGGGAGAAAGTATTGGATGGAAAAAAGAGGCCACAAGCAAATAGGAACAAACCTGAGATAGGATGGAACTACTCTTGGTTAACAAAGCATCAACAGGTGAAGTATCTCTACTACTCTGATTAATACCAGAATTCCTCTTTGAAAAATTGACAGCTCCCTTAGACCTGTGAGCCTCGGCTGCTTTCTCACACATCTGCAAACGAAGTATAAAATAAAAAATAAGTCAAACAAGAGCAGTTAGTAATGTAGGAACTGCAGCCCTTTTTCATATAGGATTAGATGGTGTATCGGATTTGAAAGATTCAGATGCAACAAAAAGGAGTTAAAATAAGATATTAGTGGGCTGATGATGTTCAGTCATCCTGAACACCGATAAAGTTTTTGCCATAGTCAACTCGAAAAAGCCCTTACGAAAGGACAAACTCCTGCCTCTTTGCAAAATATGGGCATTTCTATAGGAATCAGCACAATGGTTCAAATTGAGAAGTCAAAGTCGAATTTTCATGGTCCTAAGTGCTTTAATGGTTCAAGGACTATTTGTTATTCAATACAAAGGTAAATGTCCTTAGTCATCTCCAATGACAAAAAGATTGAACGGTCCAAAAACAAAAACTTGATTAAAATTCAATGCCATGTACATACCTCAACAATGGGATCTAATAGAGAAGCCATTACTGGATCAAACTCAGGTTTCTTTGCTGAAGCAGGAAACATCATACTGCTGTATGTATCAATTATTTCAAGCAACAAAGAAACTCCTTCCATTATGGCCGGAGGTGGAGATAAATCAGCCGCAATCCTGGGGGGATACCTCAGGAGCTTATCTCCCCTGGCCTTAAGAATGTTGAAAAAGGTTTTCTGAGCAGCATCTTTCAACAGTCCAAGTGTGTTACAGAGAGATGCTTCCTTACCCAGGAAATCTGCAATCTATGGAGGCATAAGTATCATGTGAGTTGAAGGAAAACTGCCTGTCTATGATTGAAGGAAAGACAAGACATGGACTGCGCACTTACGGTGTAGCTGTAGAATTCCAATGTATTACTCAACTTGTATGCGATTATAAGAGTTGGTTGGGATTGTAAAACTTGATCAACTCTGACCTTAAATGGTCGAGATGCTCCTTCAAATATTCTATCCAGAACAGCTGTTGTATCTGGTTCAAATTTTGTTGAGTCACTTTCAGTTTTCTTGGAGAAATGACGAGCAGCTACTCCAGTATCTGTTACGGCATCTGGATCGAGTAATACGTGAACAAGTTCTCTTTCAGATGCCAAAGCCTACCCACAAAGCAAAATATCCATGAATCAGTTTCTATAGATGAACAAATTTGATACGAGTGGGTAATTAAGAACTCAGACCTGGTGCAACCAACCCAACATATCCCCTACATAACGTAAAGGATCATGGGCATGCACTTCAATTGGTCTTGGCATTCCTCCAGGTCCTCCACGGGTAAGAGCACTGATGAATCTTCTAAACAATGCATGATGTCTCATGTTTGCTACCTGAATGTAAGTAAAAGACCTTGTAATATCATTAACATGAAAGATGAATAAGGGGACATAAATAGGAATTTAAACATCCACACTTCTATTATTTCCCAATTCAGACCTCTTCGGCACAATACTTGAACAGAACAGGTCTTTCTTTGAGGCACCGAACAGCTGTCTTCAAAAGCTCACTGACCTCAGGGTTGTCAGTATCGCCTAATTTTTTACACTCAGCTTGAACCCATCTGAAACAATTAACAGATAGTAGTATGACGGTCACTTGGGGTATAAATGAAACGAAAATACAATAACGCACTTGTGCATACATTCAGAATGTTAGGCATTGCAAATTATTGTATATCAGTTCACATAGTTCGCAGCTACTCAGAATGACTCAGAATGTTATATCAGTGTGAACACTGGAGCACAAGCAATGCTATATCAGTTGTTACTAAGAGTCATTGCTTGTGCAACACCTCCCTATTCCATAACAGCGGAAAAGTACTCTCATGCAGAGAAATTAAGTACATAATCTCGCAATCGCACCAAATTTGCCCATTTTCTTCATCCTTATCCAAATCGAAAGGAAATATCCATGAAGAGTCTGCATGACCCAAGAAAATGTTTAAAGAAGAATAGTCCTTGAGTTCAGGCTCAACTCCTCGCTTTATGTTAGCGGACCTACATTTCAGGCCGGTTCTACCAGCATAATGCTTAGAAGAATAGCCCTTGAGTTCCAAATTTGGGCAGGCAATCATACGCTCATATTTTTCTCCCCTTGAGTTTATTTTGACAACAAATAAACTCTGGCATTTCTCCTTACCACACTTATTTGCAAAATTTTACAGTCACAATGACAATGCATAACACATGATTCTCTAATAAACTTCAACGTCAACAGATAATGCTAAAAAAAACGGTTCAGTAACCTTGATAAAAAAGTAAGTTTTCGATTTTATGTTATGGGGACCATAAAACTGCAGTCAGGACCCAGATCAGGAACCATCATCTTTGATGTTAAGACAAATATTGGCAAGCCAGAAAACATGCAAACAACTTGATTGTACAATCTAGATGCTCTGCTTTTGGAAATAAAATGTGCCAACAACGTTATGCCCAACCAACAATTAAGAGGCTTAGCAACTTTGACGAATCGAGATATACTTCTGCAACATTTATTTTTCCGTCATTTTGATCACGAAAGTGCGAACCCAAATTGTTGATCACTGCCCAAGGGAGAACAAGAGAGCAGGATCTGAAAATTAAATTACTGTTCACATCATCAACCTTCTCTGATTAATTACAAAGCTTATTTATAAATACTCCAAATATTGGTTGCTGGTGAAACTTGTGTCACCTGCATAGACGCTCATATGCTCCTTCCTGGTATACAGCCATCATATCCATGAGCTCCAAACCTGCACGCTGTTATTTTTCTTCATATAAGCCGACCTGATGTATAGCATTTTACAAAACTGAACAAATACTTAGTTGAGCGCAGGATCGTAGGCAGTATCTACGTCAATGTCAGCTGAATATACTATTCACAAGAACATTACTCCGTCAATCGGAATCAGCTGAGAAACTACCAAGAATGCAATGTACAAGAGCCAGCTTTTACTCTGACACCTGATACAACAGTAACAAATGAACCAGAGACAATCTAATAGTTGGAAAGAAAAACGTTTTAATTTCCTTCTAGTGGGCACGAAATTTCCGTAGCATGAAAATTAGTCAGGAGAACTGATATCATGGAGGAGGTGATGGGCGAGCAGCGTAGCCTGCCACCACTAACATACTATTCAGCAAAGAGACCGTAGAGCATAGCTCCCTGTGGACGTACATGGAACAGTAATTTTGGGAGAATCATGACGATATTTATTACAAGATGGCCCTCCTCCCATTGCTACTCGTTCTTCCCAATTTGGAAATTATCTAGTTAATTCTATCGTTTTTCGGCTACAATGAGTTGTCTGCAATGCTTTCTCATAATGTTAGCAAAATAGCACATTTATCTATATCCATATTCAAAACACCTTTAACGAATTTGAGATGAAAATCTTCACATTTTTCAGAATCGTAGAACAAAGTGTGTATGGATTGATGAAAAACGCCTAAATTTTTAGTTACAGCTGTCACCCAAACTATAAGTTAGCATCAACTTTAAACCCAAAAAGTTTACCGAGGAAGTATAGAAGGGAGAAACTAAAGGCAATTTCAATTATCTCACAGGGAAAAAAGGCTACCTGGTGATGTGTTCGAAGTAGTATTTTACAGTTGGCATGAATTTCTTGAACATGAGCGAGCGCCTTGAAGAAATTTTCGTTGAGCTCTTCATCCCTTAATGCACTTATCTGCATTTACATTACTACAGCTACAGACTTGGCAGAAGAAAAAAAACCCAAAGACTCAAGATAATGTGCAGTCATAAAGGTTCGTTAATACCTCCTCGTTGGAAAGTTGATAATCCCGAAGAAAGCATGAGGCAATCTCTTGTCTTTGAATGGTAATATCAAGTTCCTGCTTTAGCCTCTCTGTGGTATTGATGATATCTCCTGTACTTTCACTACAGCTGTTTAATGCCCTAGCGATCCTATATGGTTCCAAAAGCTCAGGTCAGAGGAGCCCCAGTAACTTTTATCTTCCACAAAGAAACAAAGAAAGCGAGAGATGAATAAAAAGGATATGAAAGTAGGAAACAATCAGATAGTGTGGCACTCTTTCGTGATGCAGCATTAAAGTGCCTCATTTACCATTGAAAGAATGATATCATCAAAAGGTAAGTGCACATACACCAACATAAGCAAATGTTCTTTTGGGATAAACCCTTTCCGAGAGAAAAATAGTTCCAAACAATGTTTCAACCAAAACAGCAACATGATTAAAACAAAATTTCCATAGAAATGAAATACTGCACATTCAAATGAGTACAAAGCATTTCATGAATTCCACCAACATGACTCAAGGCTTATCTATCAACTCTTACATTTATCTAAGAAACACCTCACAGAGAGCTGAAGTTTATCTGATACTAGAATGTCCACATCTGAGGTAATCCACAGAGATATCTTAGGGATCCTATGTCAGCATCTACTATAAATTAAATCAAGCAGCCAACGTTCATCCTTCCCATATAGTTTCTTGTTTAATACGTGTGTCAGCCATGATTTCAAGCATCAATTTATGTCGAAAAAATGTAAACGAACAGACAGTTTTCTCAACAAGGAGTATGGGGAATTAAAAAAAATGACACCCAAAAGGCCTTGATGGATCAACCGCAGAGATGTGACCAAGCAGCTACTGGTGCATTGCAGTAAGACTCGGATAAGAATTTAGTCAATGGGAGTTTCTCACTTATCTGTTTGATCCGATTTTAATATTCATATGACCTCATAATGTTCTTCCAGGCAACTTAAAGCATCTACTGAAACCTTCTAGGTTCTGTGAGACTACTTTTTTGACCCAATTCCTTTGTTCATTAAATAGCTCTATGTGGTGTTTGAAGAATTACTATAGAGCATCAGAACGACCGAGTTTGAGACTACTACCGACCCATTTTGTGTCTCCAGATTCCACCAGGTACCGTTGCTCATGCTCCGCAGATTTCCGTTATTACTGTCGTTCTTTCTCATCTTTATAGATATATCGTCACATGAGGGGTATCCAGAGGTACCAGGCTATAAATATGTGTAAAATATGTTTCACTTCCCGAAAATAAAATGGGGTTTATTGAAAAAAAAGGCAATTCGCTGGTCGGGTTAGATTCAACCAAACGGAAGACTTACTGATCGCAGCACTCAGCAAGTGCATTAACCTCATCTCCCACCCTGTCGAGAGCCTACACGAAAGGCACGCAAATGCGTCAGAATCATAGGCTTTGAGATACGAATTGCGAGAGAGAATAAGACACCACGAGGAATGCAGGGACACGAGCGAAGGACAGAGAGAATGGAGGAGGAAGGCATACCTCCTGGGCGGGGAGAGAGGCAAGGAGGAATTCGTGGTTGAGTGCGAGGGCGCGGTGCTCTATCGTGGACTTGAGACCCCGCCGGGCAGCTGGCGTGTTCTCCCCGTAGAACGACGACAGCGCCTCCAGGGAGGCCAGAAGCTCGGGGCTGTCCGTCCGCGTCTCGTTCAGCACCTTCCGGAGCTTACGCGAGAGCCCCGCCGCCAAGGCCGTCCCTCCCCCCGTTGCCATCCCTCTCTCCCTCCCTTCTGCAGGAGAGCCTCTCAGATCTCCGTTCTCTCTGCAGAAGCCGAAAGAGTCTTTAGAGGAAGGGGAAGACAAGTTAGTACTCTGTTAACCCAATAGACTTCTTATTTGTGTAAAATATCCACTCAGTTGCTAACGGCGCCCCTCGACGGGACCTCTTGGGCATGAGCGAGCCGGCAGGCTCGTTGTCGGCACAAAAAAAATCGCTCTTTTCCAAGCCCGCAACCGATGGCGCTGTCCGAGGTGTGCAGCTCTCCTCTCCGTGTCCTCACTCGGCTGGCGTCTTTTCTTATCCGTTTCTTATCTCCAGTCCCTCTCCCTCACAAGCTCCCCCGCCCGCCTCGCTCCGACGCCGGCCCTGGAAGGAGCAACGTGGGGAAGGTAGAAGACATTTATAACACCGAACGGGACGAACTGGGCCGCGGCTAAGAGCGGCGGAGACGAGAGAACCCGTAATTTTTCGGCTCATACCGAACGGCTGCAGGTCCTCTACTTCGCCTCAGCCGAGCGTCGCCCCAGGGACGAATTCGGACAAGCTACGGTTTGCTATTGGGCGTGCCGATACCTGTCCTGAAAGCGGTGGCGGGGGCAGTGGAGGAGAATGTCGTGCCTGGCTCCCCAGTTCAAGTGCCCCCCCGATGCTCACTTCAATTTTCGGCCCAGCCATGGTAAATTCCATTCACATCTGTCCCTCCCTCTCTCTCTCTCTCCTCTCTGTAGCCCCCTCACCTGTCCAACCCTGAGAATGGTGCAGGCTCGTACACTTTGCATACTGTCCCCGTTTAGAACATAGCTCAGACTTGCCGTTTGCTTCCATGTCCTGGTGCGGAGACGAGCCTTATCCAGAGTTAGAAATGGGGTGAAACGTAGCTCTTCGGCACATAGAAAATATCTCGTATGGCAACTTCCAGAAAGAAGAGAGGAGGGTCTCACAGATTTAGTCCGGCTGCTTTAGTTGAAGAATCGGGGTTACCTAATTCAAAGATTGATTTTGGGGTGAAGGACAAAGCAGGAGAAGATTGCACGCAATCTACAAGTGTCCCGCGTAGTCTGATATTCTTTTTCCTTAGAATCTCATCCTCTGGATTCACATTACGCCAGTAGAGTTTGTATTGTTCGTCTCTCTGTCATAATTCTGTCTCCTGATGAATGGCGACAAGTGCAAGTCTCCAAAATCCCCTACGACAATAAATAAAATGTTCTTTTTCTCATGGTAAGCATTTTGGAGGATCGTTGTCAGGCTCTTCCTGGAGTTGATGGCTCACCATTACTGTTCAGAGAACATACGTGTAGGGTGGGAATCGAGAAGATTTACTATAATATATCCAAGGATTCGTTCAAAGAGTTTAATACGGCCACTAATTAGAACAGTGGGTCTCTGTACTTTGGTTGGATAGTTGAATCTATTTCCTTCTCTCACTTCATAGGGTTGGTATTATTGAATCTTGCCTATATACAGTGTCAATCAAATCTTCTCCACGGAAGTCAACCTGGCAATGGTCTTCTTTGGGTCCACTCAAAGGGACTTGAGTCAAATTCAGGGAGTTTTTATGATCTAGGTGATCTACCAACTTATGGAACTATTCATAGTTATGTTCTTTCATACTAAGAACTTTTCATGTGTTGACTGCACCACGTGGTTTCCCATTTGAAGTTTATTCTGACCTAAGCTTTTTATAAGCTATTCTTACACTTTTTATAATTCTCCAAAAGTCGTCCTTCATCGAAATATACTCCTCAGTGTTTTGCAGATTTTAGATTGTTCATTATGGCTCATCTGCATTCTCTGTTAGTTTGCACAACTGAAATTTTTTCTATCAAGTTTTATTCAATCTTTTTTGTAGGCGAAAGGATATCTAAACAAAGGAATTTTCTTTGAGCTAGCATTTATGGCATGGGCTAGCATTTATTTCTTTAATTCTTAGGACCCTACAATGGATTTGCTTTTTTAACGAATCATTTTCTGATATGCAGTGAAGACTAGGGACTTCGCATATTTCCGGGTACAATGTGTTATGTCATCTGCAACAGTAATTGATACAGAAAAACTTCAAATATCTTCTTTGGAAACCCATTCAACTTCAGTTGCATCTCTCAGACCTTTGCCATACATAGGGACCATTGGTCCGCCAGCAAAGGTCAGCATTAATTTATGGATTTGACTATTCTGTGTCATCTTTATCAAGGCTCCGGCTTTTATAATCTTTTGCCATTATTGAAGCCCTTTGAAAATGCTTTGTTCAGATATCTATAGAGGCTGTCCGGGCCGTAAACTACTTATCCTTGTGCATACAAACACATGTTGTTGTTTATTGTTGGCGCAAACACTGAATTTTTAATCACAATGAGGCTTAATTTCCTTATGCATCTTTTTACTTTTTACAGATTGATTTTGAGGTGGCCCTAGCCACTGAGAATTTGCTGGCAAATGAAGAGTCTGTTATTGCTGCAGCTGCTGCTGAAGCGGTTGCTCTTGCTAGAGCAGCGGCTGAAGTTGCCAAAAATGCAGCGCAGATGGTTGGAAGCAATCCATCATCAAAGTATAGTAAACCTGATGATTTTTCTTCAGATTTTGGGCTTCTACAGGTTGAGATGGCTAAGGATGCAGAGAATGAGCGTTTGGGTGCATCCACGTATGGTCAAACAATTGAAGGTGTGTCTGATCGTAATCTACCTCAAGGTGCACATGAGTATAGTTCAAAAATAAATGGTTTTGAACTTCTAGAACCAGAACATTCTGAGAACATAGCTGTGAGATCGGGACGTCAAACTGAAAGGAGAGCCCGGAGAGCACGTGCTGCTGAAAAGGTGGGCTCCAGTGTTATCTCTGTTAAATCTGGATCATCTGGGAGAAAAAAGCGTGGTGCTATCCAGGAAATCGACTATTCAGATCCATTGCATTATTTAAGGGCAACTACAAGCACATCACGGCTCCTAACTGCTAATGAAGAGTTGGAATTATCAGAGGGAATACAGGTGATATTTTATATCTTTTTTGTGGGCTACATATCCATGTTGTTGACATGTTCATTTTAAACTAGGATGAGTCGCATGTGCCAAGCAAAGTTCATCATGCTGGACTGGGACTTTCACTTCTTCGTTTTTGTTCCCCTTCATCTATCAGTCGGATGTGATGCATATATGTGAGATTTATGTGATGCATAAATTGGTTACCGTTTTACCGTTTTAAATTGGTTCATCTATATTTGGTGAAGTGTTTTTGCATAGAATATTCTGCTTTAATCCGTCCGTTGTATCTTCACTTTTAATGAAGGTAATGGAACCTTTTAATCACAGGACGAGAAGAGAGAATGTGTAAATTTATTGCGCAAATTTAAAATGAATCAGAGATAATGATTGATCCTCTTTTGTTGAACCAGGGGATCCTATTGCCCATTGATGATGACTGCCAAATTTGGTCCTGTAATTTAGGAATTATCGAGAAGTAGTTTACCTTTCCAAATGGGATTTTTTTCTTAGAAATCAATATATTTTTTTTATGCAGTGTCACAGACTAACTCATGTTCGGTAGTTTATTACATTGTAAGTGATTAATTACCAGTGTAGAAGAAATCTGAAGACAATGATTTCATAATGATTTTCTTTATCCGGTTTTAGGCTCATAAACTTTGTGGATATAATGCAGGACCTGTTGAAGCTGGAAAAGCTTCAAGAAGAACTTGCAAAAAGATATGGGAGTCAGCCCACCTTTGCTCAATGGGCTGCAGCGGCTGGAGTTGATCAGAAAACTCTGAGAAAACGCCTAAATTATGGCACCTTTTGCAAGGACAAGATGATTAAAAGCAATATTAGGCTTGTTATCTCCATAGCAAAGAATTATCAGGGCGCAGGGATGAATCTTCAGGATCTTGTTCAGGTTTTCCTTTGTTTTTGTGATTTCTTCCGCTCAAACGTACCGTTTTTCTAGCTTCAGAGTATTGACATGGATGCTTTCTTGCAGGAAGGATGCCGGGGTTTGGTAAGGGGAGCTGAAAAGTTTGATGCTTCCAAGGGTTTTAAGTTCTCAACTTATGCGCACTGGTGGATCAAACAAGCTGTTCGGAAATCCCTCTCTGATCAATCCAGAACCATACGCCTACCAGTGAGCATCAAATGGCACCCATACTCTTGCTTAAGTATCACTGCATTTCATTTATCGGACTGTGTTGAAGAGCATACTTTGCTTGTTCGTCAGTATATGGGAAGGTCTTTTCTATGTATTGTAGCTGTTGATTTGGGGCAGGCATTGACAAGTGCTGTTGCTAGGTAAGATTGAAAGTTTTCACAGCACGGATGTGTTGACCAAGATGAGTTCATTCCTGCAGAGTGAATAATTTAGCTGCGATTATTTAGATTAATGGATAATTCTTAAAACCTGGATGCCGTGTAGGTATTTTGACTGGTGAAAATCATGTGATTTCCCTGTGGTGGGTGGGATGCATATAACTGTGGTGTTTAAGAAGTAGACTTGTATACTTCTCTCGTCTGGTACCACCTATGTCCATCTCGTTTCTATTAGGAGTGCTTAAGATGGATCTTCTCCTTACATATTATTTACAGTAGCAGAGCAAAGATGATTGGCTGTCCATTTCGTCCTTAATGGCCTTGTGAGAGAGATACTTTCCCTTTTGAAGGTGATCGGGCTTGGACAAATATGTGTTACTTTTTATTTATTTATTAAAATCAACAAATCTCTGTTGCCAAATAGATTAGTGGGATGAAGTAATGTACTTCATTGTATCTTGGGAATCTCAGACTGATGTCAGTGATTAGATGCTAGTAACTTATCGAGCATGGAACGAACTACTTTGGAGAAGGAAGATCAGTATGCAATAACTCTTAGAACAATATGGCTGGATGAATCCTAGTAAGTCTAGAAGCAAGGATGAGGACATCTGATGTAATGTAACCCCGGGTATTTTGTAAGCTCTGAAGTGTAATGGAGCGAAGGTGTTCCATCGCAGTTTTAATCTCATATTTTATCGATAAGTGGGTTAAACATTATATATTCATCAGCAAAGTGGGACCAGGGGGTTTTCAGGTTGGGCAGAGGATCTGAGACTAGGATCAGATTCATCTTGTGGGCTTTCTGAGTGTTTTTGGGCAGCCAGTCTTAACTTGAGGGCTTGTAGATTTTTCACTTTAGATGGGCTCCGATGCGGAGTAGCCATCCGCCCGGGTGGGTCATGGAGCTAGCTGTACCGGTTGTGGGTTATTGCTGGCCTTTAGATAGCTGCAAATGGGAGAAAAGGACTAGCTTCCTCTACATTTCAAAGCAGGAACCGATGTCAGAGTGCAAGACTCTGGGATCCCTGCTGCCTTGAATGATGGGTTTTTCACTATTTTTAGTATAGAAAGGATGAGATTTCTTTAGCTATTGAGATCATCGTACAACGGAGTCAGGAGCTTCTTCTGCTGGCATATGTTCCCCCTTGCGTTGTTTTGTACTGTATTTGGGTTTGCCTTTTGCCTCAGCGAGGAGAATTGACGATTCCTATGTGCAGTTCCACATGGTGGAGGCGACTTATCGGGTGAAGGAGGCTAGAAAGCAGCTGTACAGCGAGAATGGAAGGTACCCAGAGAACGAAGAAGTGGCGGAGGCCACAGGGCTGTCGATGAAGAAGCTTACGGCTGTGCTTTTGACGCCCAAGGCTCCCAGATCCTTGGATCAGAAGATTGGGATTAACCAGAATCTGAAGCCCTCGGTTTGACCCCTCCCGCTGCTTCTCCGGGGCTCCCTATCTCCGTCACTTCCGGCGACTGGTCCGCTGATCTTGCGTCCTTTTGTTTCAGGAGGTGATTGCTGACCCGGAGGCGGAGTCTGCCGAGGACATACTGATGAAGCAGTTCATGAAGCAGGACCTGGATAAGGTTCTTGACACCCTGAATCCCAGGGAGAAGCAGGTGGTCAGGTGGAGGTTCGGCCTGGAGGATGGGAGGATGAAGACGCTGCAGGAGATCGGGGAGTTGATGGGGGTGAGCAGGGAGAGGATCCGGCAGATCGAATCCTGTGCCTTCAGAAAGCTGAAGAACAAAAGGAGAACCAAGAGCTTGCGCCAGTACCTCGTCTCATAGGGAGGAGCGGGGGCAATCCCTTGACGTCTCCCGTCTTCAATTTTTCTTCTTCTTCTTCTTCTTGTCCTTCTTCTCCCTCCCGCGAGAAACTACATTCCTCCTCCGCCTCCATTTTTCCCTTCTTCATGCTCTCTCCACTGTATTTAGAAGAACATGTATAATCGATCGACCGTCGGCCTGTGCAGAGAAGAAGAATCCTTGTACCATCTTTGGTGTTCATCACAGCGATTATTTAAGGTCTGGAGTCTCAAGAATTGTCTTCGCTACTGACTTTGCCACAATTGAACGGAACCCAACAGACTACCAATCTCATGCGCCACCATAGAGGGTTTACTAGTTTTAGGTCGTCTTCTTCCTCGCGTAAGCATTCTTCGGAGACTGCCTAGCAATGATCCATGACCAATTTCTTTCTGTAGAAATATTAAGGAAATAACAAGCCATAGAGATGGGAAAAGGGCAGCAGACCAGAGGGGGGGTGGGGGGTTGTGAGAGAGAGAGAGAGAGAGAGAGAGAGAGAGGGGCCAATATAATGAACGACCCGAGTAATGTTATTGCTATTGTTAACAGGAGACCAATATAAGCCTTCACGAAGGCGAGGTGCGGAGCCAGCGGGGGAGGGAGGTTTTGGAGGGAGGGTGAGAGGGCGAGTGAAGGTGCCGGCGGCGGGAGGATAATGGCTGGTAGGGTTTTCTGGGGGTGCAGGGCGCTGATGGCTGCGTCGAGAGGCGCTGCAGCTGCTGAGGGGGGCGCCTCTTCGGTGGAGGCGATTGTGAAGGCGAAGGGCGGCTCCAACGCTGGGGGCTTAATGAAGGCTTTGCCGGTGTCGCCGGCGATGAAGAAGTTTCTCGGCGTGCCAGAGATCTCCCGGTCTGAGGCGGTGAAGAAGATATGGGACTACATCAAGCTCCACGAGCTCCAGGTCACCATAAATACTCCAAACCCTCTCCGTCCTTTGACCTCTTTCTGTGAACCCTGCCCTAGTGCTCTGCATGCGGAGCCTCCTAATGCTTCCTTGTGGTTATCTTTCGTTTTCTGATATCCTCTGTCGTTCTGGTTCCCTTCTCTTGCGGCGCCATTGCCTCCTTGTGGGTTATTACCTTTCTCCTTGGAAAAATGGCACTGGCCCCTCAACCCGTACTACCTCCTTCCCTCCATCTTGCGCCTAGATTTTCATTGCCCGTCGTCCTTTCGTCCTAGTTTGCTCTCTTTTCCGTAATTGTCGCATCGGTGGTCGTACTTTCTCGCAGTTTATGATGAGGTAGCGACTGCTTGCTGTCTGTAGCTTCCTATTTTCCCCTTTTCTGATTCAGTGGCGACTCCTAGCAAGGCAAATGCGCACACTGTCGCCGTATCCCGGGTGGAACGAGTCACACGTTTTGGGTTCTCAAGAACTCCAACGTTTGTTGCTGCATTAGTTGTTGATTGATGCCTTTTTTTAATGCCCTCGGATTCAGAGGCATTTGAGAGTGATTATGATTTTTTTTTTCTGCAATTAATAATTCTTGGAGCATACTAGAAAGTTGGTGTTCTGTATGCGCTGAATGTGAGGTAATAATAGGGTCCACTCCCATTGGTTTGGTTAGCATTGACTTTGTGCTCGTCCTCTTCCCTGATCAAACTAGCTGCAGCTCTCTCTCCCGTGATCTCATCTGCATGGATTGCAGCTCACCACTCTCAGTTAGTTTTTTGGGTTTTTGAAGGATGGTGGACTGCCCTTCTTCATCATCTGATGCCTTTGTTCTTACTAGAAAGGGGAGAAGACGCTTTAAAAAAAGCTACATGATGCTGATTTTGAATGTAGGCGTGCCCTCTCATGAAGCCATAGAGTGAATGTCTCTTCGTCTTGTGTTCTTTTGATATTTGTTGGGGGGGTTATTTGCTGATTTTCTGTCCTCTTTCCAGTGATTGGACCAAATACTTGAAGGTTTTGTTGGGGAGGTCAACGAGATCATGTAGTGTTGTGTCTTGCCCTTTTGACCAGATTAGAACCTTGCCGGATTGAAAATCAGGTGAATCAGAATTTTGGCAGACTGTTAAAAGGGTGAAATGCTCAAAAGGGCGACCCATCAGGGCCTACATATTTCTATCTATATTTATTTATGTATGATCTTGCTATTCGAGAATAATATTGGAAAATATTATGGAGGAGAAAACTCAAAACTAGATCGATCCCCCATCCCGCATCCCCCAGTTTTTTTTTTTTTAGAGGGTTTGAATTAATCAGTTGATGACATTTTTCTATTTTTCGCTCCCCACATTCGTTATATCTCGTGAATCTATGCTACTGAGAGCTTACTTACTGTGAAGAAGACGAGAGAATAAGGCCTGATTGCTCATGATGAAGTGGCTATTACCATTGCAGAATCCCGCGAACAAGCGGGAGATCCAGTGTGACGAGAAGCTGAAGACTATATTTGCAGGAAAGGACAAGGTGGGGATGCTGGAGATTGCTAAATTGCTCTCCCCCCACTTCATCAAGACCAAGTGACGGCATGGGGGGGGAGAAGAAGACGATGGTGGTGTGGGGAGGAGGCCAAGGTCTCTGCCCTAATATCCTCGTCTTCTTCGTCTTGTTTCGGTCAGTAAATCTCACATATCCCGATCAGTGCACGCGAGCTTGTGTTCAAGGTCTACAGTTTAGCGACTGGTTCGATTCCCTCTCTCCCCTCCCCCCGCCTCCTCATTAAACCCTTGCATCTTCTGATCAGACTCGCGCTTAACCCACCCTCCGCCTTGTCTTTGTACAAGTTCCGCAGAGAGCTCGCTATCTCTCTCTCTCTCCCTCTCTCTTGCTGCCTTCGCGGGGTTCGGATTCACTGCCATTGGCGTGGATGTAGAGCTTCTTCGTCGAATAATGGGATCGTGACCGCGTAGTAAACAGAGCGTGTAAAGAGGAAATCTAGGGTCGGAGGGGCGAGACTGGCACAGCCCATGAAAGGCCGGAAGGACGAACGTCTGCCGCCCGGCTCTCTCCTTCCGGGCGAGGTTGAGGCTGGTCTGATAGGATCGAGATTCTGAGCATGGCTTCATTGGGTCCATGGCGAGTTTCAGCGGTTAATCCCTAATCTCGCTCGTTTACTTTTCATTCTCTGTCTGCAAATACGAAAGTATATATATAAATATGTATCTACCACAAGAATTTGGGAGGTGGGGAGACCTAGCGGAGGGAAGAGGAGAGGATGGGGGCGTCGGCTCATCAGGCGCTGCAGCAGTTTCTGTCGAGGCGGCCGTTCACCGCCGCGGCCTGCGCCACTCTCCTCCGCCTCAGCACCGTCGTCCGGCTCCGCTCCTCTTCCGCTTCCTTCTTCCCCCTCGGTCCCTGTGCTTCCCTACCGCCGCCGGCGGGCCGGCGAGTATTGGGCCCCGCGATCTACACCAGCGAATCTCCTTGCGGCCGCCGGCAGTTCTCCGATGGTGTGGGTGTGCGGGCGGCGGCGCAGGTGAATGATCCGGGCGCAATCGACAGCCCCCTGATGCAGTCCATGGAGAAGAAGGTGAACGCCACTCTTCTTCCGACCGTCGGATTACTCCAAATCTGAGCTCTATGTTCCTTCGAAGCTTTTTCATGGGGGAGCTATCAGAGGGCCAGGGCAGTCATTTAGCTGGCTAAATCGAGTGAAGAATGGAACGGTGGGGTTCTAAAAATTTCCAATAGGAGCGTGAGATCTGGAATACTTCCGGCACGTCGCTCGCTCGATCTGGAATACTTATTGCGGGAGAAAAAACCCTAATTTTTCATTACCAGATTCCGAGAATTGTGCGAGAAAAAACATCCGATGCTCACTGGATTCTTACCCATGGACGTCCTCGTGGGGTAAGCCAGAGAGGGAGTGTGGAACAATCTTCTAGGAGCTGTGGAAGGATGGACAGCTCCTACCGCAGAACTCGAGCACCATGGTCAATGCCTGCCACATCTGACATTCTGCTATCGACCTGTTTACAGATCAAGGAGCAGCTGAATGCAGACTTGGTGGTCGTAAAGGACGCCTATGGAGATGGTCGGCATGTCAGGTTTGCCTCTTGATAGCATCTTCATCTTTCTCACTAAAAATGGCTCGGTGCCGGCATACGCCAGGGATTTCAGGTCCATTGTGTCTAGATGTATACGCCATTATTGAATCGCTGGGAAAAGGCAGAGAGAGGATTCTTGTATAAAATCCAGGGAGTTTTGAGTCTCTTCTTCCCGATTGCGTCGTAGCAAAAACTGTGGTTAATTGCTCTGTAATGGGGAGATCACAGCGTCAGACCTTCATCGAGAGAAAGGAGGTCGAATGATCACTGTGTGTAATTGGTTTTGTTCTTAGATGCAGTCAAGGAGTTTGGTTTTGTTTTGAAGATGAGACCCAATTTTCGGAGAGAAGCGAAGCTTAGTTTGTCTGAAGTTCCTCCTCCTCCATGTGTGGCGGCGCTGCCGCGTTGACTCACGGCTCAGTGTGTGTGTGCAGCATCGAGGTGGTGTCGTCGGCGTTCGATGGCCAGTCGGCGGTGAACAGGCAGAGGATGGTGTACAAGGCGATATGGGAGGAACTCCAGAGTACCGTCCACGCGGTTGACCAGATGACCACCCGGACCCCGGCCGAAGCAGCCGCCAAGGGCGACTAGTGACCCATTGACTTACCTATTTCTTCACATGTCTCTCGTCCCGAAAGGGCTGTTTTTCCCAAGTTGTCTGTCGCGCTCCCAGTCAGACAACAAGTTGTCTTCTGAGTCAACCGCGCAGAAAGTTCTCTCTCCGGCATTGATGCATGAACCTCTTCGGACAGCCGCCGCCGTGTCCCCTTATCTCTGTCCGTATCTCGGAGAAGTCTTCCGCCGAACCCATAAAGCCGAGGGAAGAGTTTCTTGCTTCCACGCGGAATTGCCGGCCCGTAGAGAGAGATTCCCCGTGGAGCACGACGCCTGCTGATGCGACCCGCCGGCCGACCGGTGAACTTGCCCCCCGGAGAAAGAAGACGGGTAAATGTTTCCTCTTCCTCTCTGTCGGTCGATGGCGGTCGACGTGAACTCCCCAATAAGGCGGTTGGCCGGAGAGTGTTGGGTGGGATACCAGCCACTATATCTCTTATCTCTCTCTCTCGCTCGCTTGCTGCAATGGGAACAGCGTGATCGGTTGCGCATCCGCGGCTTGATCGCGGGTGTTGACTTGCGCGCCACTGTTAGCAGAGAATCTTTGGAAAGAAGAGCCCGGCGGGCTTAGAGCAGCCAGCAAAGTGTAGGTATCGTCACCTCTACGCCCCGTGAATGTCTCCCTAAGAAGGTCCGCAACTATAATACATCTCTCTCTCTCTCCCTCTCTCTCTCTAGAAAAGGGGATTGACTTGCATGTCATTGGCGGTTGTCTTTATAGTTCGATTGGACCTACGGACGATTAAAGTCATCCACAGATAGATTCCTTAGGGTCATCCGAAGGTGCAAGGCTACTTCCATCTTCAGTCAGAGTTCTTCTACTGGGCTACCGACTGCACGGCGCCCCCCCCCTTTCTCCTAAAAACTCTCTGTTTGTCTGTCTGTCTGTCTCTCTCTCTCTCTCTCTCTACCTTGCGTTGACTTTGGGGCCGTAGAGGCAGAACCCATGCGGTCCCCAGAGAGGCCCAACGTAAGGAGCAGATAAAGGGGGATCGCACCCGCTCGCAATGCGCCTTCTCTTCTCCTCTTCTATGCCAATAAGAGAGATGTTGCAAAGGAGGACTATGCCAATAAGAGAGATGTAGCAAAGGCGGCAACCGGTGGAAGACGCCGTCTCCTTCTTTCTCCCTACCAACTGCGTTGCCTCCTCGCCCTGCGACCTCTTCACTCTCTCCGCATTTAAATTGGCGCTCTCCCTCTGTCTCTTTCTCAATCTTTCTTCCTTCTAACGCATATTTTGATGAATTCAACCATCACGACGATCAGTTTTCTTCCTCTCATTCCCGATAAGTTAAGCAAGAAAGGAAAATGACCAATCTGTCTGTCTGTTTGTCTCTCTCTCTCTCTCTCTCGCTGCATCTATAAAGGGAGGCCACTGCAACGCCAAACCCGGCCAGTATCCTCCTCCAGAGACTGCAAGGTCTTCAGCATGGTCTTTGGACACCCCAGCGGGCGTCTTCTCTTCTCCCCTTCTCTTTTCCTCCTCCTCCTCCTCCTTCCCCACGTATGCATTGGCGGCAGGTACAACCTTTCAGAGATGGCTGCCGGAGAGCACAGGGATTCCGTCATTGATCCTCGGTACGTGGCGATGGGTTTTCTGCCGAGAGGCCGGCCCTTCCCCCCCTCCGGACCCTCCAAGCGGCACAACAGCAACCCAACCAAAAGTACCGCTTCCCACCGGACCACCTCCCCCTAGGATCCCCAGCGAATTCGCTCTGGGGAGAGAGCCTGTAGATTCTGTGTGTGCGTGTGTGCCTCTCTCTCTCTCTCTCTCTCTCCCACTTACAAAGAAAGATTTTTTTTAAATGTTCATACATGCCCAGAGCACGATTTATCTCTCTCATGGTGAGTGATTACTTGAGAAGCCAGACGACATGATCGAGCAAGGAAGATGTTGCGTTGATTCAATCACAACACGGTAGAGACGCAATCAACCTAGGTCCACCCTCGGTGGGATATCGTCCCATCGTCTCCATGAAATCGAAACAAACACTGAACGCCGTTTTGGTGGCCGCGGAAGATGAAACGTAGGGCCCGAGAGGAAGAAGAGGCTGAGGCTCCATGGGACATCTTCTTGGGAACTGACCTTTTGCTCTCTTTACTCCCTTTTCCTCTTCTCTGGCCGTCGTATGTCTAACCTGCCTAGCACGGACAAGCACGGACCACCACATCATCAGAAACGCCTCACTTTCTCCCACCAAAAGGACGTTCCCCGAGAGAGAGAGAGAGAGAGAGAGAGTAGGAAGATGACCAAGAAGAAGAACAAGTGCGGTAAACCCTACTATTTTATTGTGCACCCCTAACTCTCGATTAACAACACGGTGGTGGAGTTGCTGACGCGAATCTACGAACGGGCGGAGTATTCAAAGATACGTGGTTTGGAGGAAGTACTGCCGGTAGCTGGTTCACTGGCTGGTGATGGCTGTGGCCGAGAAGGAAGGATCTTAACATCATCGTCCATTACTGCCTTCCTCAAAGCTTGAGCGTTATATATATATGCATATTTAATATCCCAAGCGGCAGCAACATTGACTTCTCCTCCTTTTCAACCTCTATTTTCCCGACAAATGCATGCCCTTTCCGTCAAGTTCTACACCTGCAGCTAGTAACTATAATATCATGACATAATTGCCAGAATAGTAATTTTTATGCATCAATTCTTCAACGGGTTATTCGATTCATCTCTTTGGGACTTTTCGTCAATTAGTCGAATATTTCCCATAAACTATCAGACTCTTGACTTTCAGTCGGTGGGTTAGTCGACATTATTGTTTCGACTCTTTAGAATAGAAACAATACATTGCCATCCTGACTGTGGAGTGGGACCAAAAAGTGTACTTCGAAGAACTAACCATTTGCAAGTGATTACGAGCCAACTGTTAACGGTTCCAAAAACTGAATTTGGTGCCCATAAAAATATAATGGGAGAGTCAACTCCTTAAGATAGTCCAATCTGTTAAAAAAATGAAACCCTCCCAAGGGCCTTTAAACAAGAGGGAAGGAGCTCCACAAGTTCAGGGAGGCGCTTGCGCTTACTTTATTTAAACGAAGTAGGCATTTGCTTCTGGTCACGACGTGCCACGGTTCGAAGCCTTCCATTCCAGATCACGAGCACCCGATCGGTGACGACTGCAGGGGAAGGCTCCTTCCATGAGCCTAGAGTTTATTAAGTCGCAACATTTGACTTGAACCCACTTTGCTAAGACGAGAGAGAGAAGGGAAAGATAAACGACGGATAGCAACCCTTCCATATATGAAAACAACTCTGACTTCGGCCACGCTATTCCATCAATCTCCTCGTTGTTGCAACACGACTTCTTCCGTCAAACAATAGATAGGGATACCCGGTTTAGTTGGTTTGGAGGATTAACTAATTGGATACCCGAGAAACATAATGTTTTAAGGGAATATCTACTATCATAGATAGGGATCAGGTTTGGCATCTATGTCACCTGCCTTCTAGAAAGTATGGATTGAAATCATACACGTGGGGGAAGATTTTTCAATCAGTGTAAATATTATACGCGTGAAAATGAAATAAGTTGAAATCATACACGTGAGGGACGTTTGCCTCCACAACTAGTAAGTTTGTACAGAACTTTCTTACTCCCAAGAACTCCCTAGCAACTTGAAACCCCACCAAGACATCTCACCAGGGATTAATTGCCTCCCTGAAGCAATAAGTCGCATGATGTAAAAATAAGTTGAATACCCAAAAAGACAAGAAAAATATCAGCTGCTCAAGACATTTAAGATAAAGATCGTCTCTAAGCTTTGGAGCTACCAAAATGATCAAAAAGAGGTGTCAACTGAATGAACAATTAGAACCATGTCAAGGAAAATTATGAATCAAGTTAAGCACATTGTTATGGTGATTAAATTTACCATTATACTTGTAGCTTAGTAACTGCACCAAGTAATGGTGCAGTGGGCACAAACTTGAAGTTCATTTGCACTCAAGTTCAACAGCACCTTGTGTTGTTTTTGTTGGCCATAGTCAATAAGCCCAGTCGAGGCTTGACAAGTGAGTTGCATCCTATAAAGCTAATCATACATCGATTGCCTTGAAAGCAATCCACCTACCAGGGCTGTTAGAACCTACAGGTAATCTTCGTTGAAGTTTAATAGAAACCCAAAGAGCAGGGCTATTGGAATGGTAGATCTAGGTTGGGGGTTGAAGAACTTTATATATATGCGAATTGTTTTTATGCGTTTGCTATCTCTTATTGATACATTTAAAAGCCGCAGCTTGACGAGAGGTCATCTGCTGGTTTTGGGTCTGAACAGAGGGTGTGCACCGTCGCTGGGTAACCCATCCTCGCACAGAGCGTTTGGGTTTTTCCTGTAAGTACTGGGCCCCGTCTGTACTCGGAGACAATCCCCCCATTAAGTTCGACGTATACGGTGTATAAATAGAGCATTCATCAAGAAGACGTTCGGGGGGGGGCGGAAAGATAGGGTAACGACGAAGTCACGACCTCTCTGATCCGTGTTTTCCCCTTTCTCAAGAACAATACTACTCATAAAGTTTAACTCAACAACGTGTGAAAGCAGACATCGAACAGGCTGACCAAACCAGTTCGCTCGTTGGTTGGTCTCACCAAGCAGGATACTTCGCTGCTGCAGACGATTCTTGGGATCATCGGTAAAGATTACTGGAATAGAACCCTCGATGGGCTGACGTAAATGCTCGAATTTGTATGACAAATGTGTGCGAGGATTGCGCATATACAGGAGCTCGAGAGGAGCAGTTCATTTTCCATTCTTTGCTTTCAGATGAGAGAGGCACCGGGTGGAACCCTCTCCATTACCCCAAGAAACGGCGACTTGGCGATCACGCCGCTCTGGGCACCGGCGCTGTCGGCGGAAGGAGAGGAAAGATCAAAGCGAGGCGGATCACACAGCGGCGCGTCCTGTTGCACGGAGGGAGACAAGATGCTCGACCCGGACATCCTATCGTTCAGCGTTTCGAGCTCCTGAAATGCGGAGAAGAAGCCCTGCTCCGCGTGATCGGCAGCTGCTGCGCCTGGGAGACCCAAACTCTGCCCGCCGGCGGTTGTCATTCGTGGAGACGACGGGGAAGGGAAGAAGAAAGGTGTCGGGGGAAGCGGAGTAGAAGAGCCTGACGATGAGACCGGCGGCAGAGACAACGAAGACTCCTGCCCACAAGCCTGGGTTCGGTTGATGGCCCGGTGAATGACGGCGTGGGGCCCTTCTCCTCCACCGTAAGAGGCAGCGTATATCTGCCCGCACTCGGAGACGACGAGCACGGCCACCCGCCAGCCTGGGTTGGCCCCGGCGAACGCCTCCGCCTTCGAGAGGAGCCCTCTCCGGCGCTTGGAGAAGCAAACGCGCCGCGCTGCAACGTCGTCGATGCGGCGGTGGTCTGGGCCACGAGCTCGCCGCCCTCTGCCCGCCGGCCGCGTCATCACCTTCTCCTGCGGAGGCTTTCTTGTGTCTCCTGTTTCTTGAAATTCTCGAGACGAGTCTACTCTACGCGAGCGAGGAAGGATAGCGAGATCGGCTTCTTTTATATTATTCTCCGGGGAGATGGGGGGAACTTGCGCGTCACGGAGAGCTTTTTCGAACGGTAGGACTCGGTCCGGTTGGGCCCGGCCCAGACTCTAATCGGCAGACAATTTCTGTCCAGCCGGCCGCCTTCTCCCGCACCGGAAGGCTCGTGGCCCGCCGAACGACGGACGCATAGGAAGTGCTAAAGTCAGGGTGCGAAAAAAAAAAGAGGGACTAGGTGACTACCATCTTATGATGCCATTATGCAAACATGAAAATACTTTAACTTGGAAAAATATATGTTATTTGATAGAAACTGTATAGTTTATAAAGAATGGTACGTAAAAAGCGTCATCATTTTCTGGATTCAACAAAAACAAAATCAACAAGATATTATTTCAACTTGATTAATGGAAGACCATTAAAAGGAGATTGTCATGTGCTTATTTTTTATAACACAAACGTTAAACATAAAATGATTAAGTATGGAGGGCAATAAAAAGTGGAGATTCTTAAAAGGATCATAAGAATCAAACTTGGTATGATGTAATCTAATAAACATATTATACATTAACTAATGCCACGGGCTACATGACCCCTCTGTGGTTTTGGTAATATTTTATTTTATTTAACATGAAAATATAATACTTTATTAATAAAAGTAGGGAAACACCAATTAGATATTAAAAGGAATGATAAATATTTATTATTTAAATTTATTCACAGTTTGATAATAAACACACAATTTATATTTTCTTTAAATAGAATATCATTATAAGGAAACTAGAAACAAGTCTAGGTTGATTGAGAACTATATTTGCTTGTAAATCAAACATGTCTATTATTCTGAAGAATGGATATAGTTTTGTATCATGATAGGTTTCTGTAAAAAATCAAATTTTCATGATCTTCTTAAAACTATGTGAGAAACATCTTGTGTCATCCATCTATGTTGTACTTCTTTTGCATAGGCTTTCATGATAGTATATTAAACAACCCAGATGTTGATTATTTTTCCTTCATAATCTTTTTTGATCTACTAAATTTTGTAAGGATGTAGGCGTCTTGTTATTGTCAACCCTATGTTTTCAAATGATGAAATAGAAAAAGGGGCATTCTTTTACACCCAACACACCTTAGACAATAAGTTATGTGATGTTGTTATTGAATGTGAGAAAAAATCTCTATTTTTCCCTATCAACCATTTCATAACATTGATAATGTGATAAATATTCTAGTCATATATCATTGTCGTCTTAGGTACTGTGAAGTTTAAAGAACCACTTCTTGGTAACATATTTTTCGGTGCAATCTTGCTCTTCACATTCATGGCAACTATCTTAACTAGAAGGGCCATAAGAATCTTTGTATGTAGATCTCATTTTGCTATGATGGGACGACAATCTAGATCTCATTTTGCTTACTGTAAAATATATGTTGCAGAATGTTATCAATCTTAACGTGATAAATATTCTAGTCATAATAGCGGAAGTCATTCCCCTCTCCCTCTATTTAAAGAGGCCGAACTTTTTGTGCAATTGACATCATAGAATTGTTCTTTTAGACATAATGAAACAAGGCCAAGCTGTGGAGTTCATCTTTTGAAAGCAGATTTCAGCTTGCTAATCAAATGTGACGAAGAAAATTTCAATTAGAGTGAACGCTTTCCCTCAAGTCAACATTCATGAAAGCCAGTTTGTATCTAATTGAAAAACCAGCAAGGATTGTCAGGCAACATACATGACGAGGGTTCCAATAGCGATCATCAAAGTAGGAGTAAAGGTTTGACTATGAGACGACATGCAACAACATTTTCCTCATTCCATTGTTCAGGGTTTCACAAGAAGTGAACTGTGATCTGTCTAGAGAAATATCAGCATTCCCATCTATATCTTAGTAGATATATGCATCAGAATATATAACATCAGTAGAAAGACAGAGATAGCAAAGGAACATCTGATTCCTCTTTGACGATTATCTGAAAGAAAGACAGGGTAGCAATCAAGAATGAGAATCTATAAATCCGCTTCATCATTGACGATGATCTGAATAGAAGACAAGGAAGAAATGAGGAATGGGAATCTTTGACATGAAATCAAGAGTGCATGGGGAATCCCCACAAAATCAACCAGTCAAAGGATCGTCAATCATCTAATTGAGCAGACTATCTCTTCTCTGATTTACATATGTTTTCCTCATTGCAGTAGAGAGAGAATCCTCAAACAAGTCTACCTCCTCTTTGGTTTCGACTTGTTTCCCTTCTTCAGAGAAACGAACTGTTCATCAGCATCCTCGTCACCATCACGGCCTCTTCGCTTCCTGTGACTGGGGTTATCCTTCATTGTCTGGAGAGGAGAAACAGCAGAAAACAGAATTTTAGCTGCCGGAGAAATTACACCAAGCGATTATAACATAATACAATATCGATAAAGTTTGAGAAAGAAAATGGTGACAGAGATAGGTAGGGCAGGAGCTGCCACAAGGGACGCCAAGTTGAATCTCATCCAAGCCCACTCCTGGCCTATCAAGCTGAGCCAAACTTCTGGGCTTACCCAGCCAGAAAAGTTCCTCGATAAACATCGTATTTTAACCTACCATGTGGGCCATCCTTCTTGCGTCAGTGACACTTTCGACCAGTTGCATAACTTCTGCTTCCTCAGCAGGGTACTCGGGGAGCTTCTTGCCTGTGATAGATCACGAACGAAATAAATGACTATCTCTGTATTTCATTTTTCAGAATTTCATTCCAATGAGCAGGGGCAATATTATTAATGAAGCTTACCAATAAGCTTCTCTATCAGCAGATACCATTCCACCTCGTACTGACTAACTAATGATACTGCCAAACCAGTTCGTCCTGCACGTGCTGTTCTACCCACACGATGAATGTAATCCTGAGTTATGGTTAAGAGAACCCATGAATACGCAGCATTTGCTCCAAAGCCAGAATAAGAACACAATTGGTATCATGATGAGGGAAGAGCACTGCTCCGAAGCACGGGCGAGAGGTTAACAAGTGTCCCTTTGCAAATTGAATTTTCAATCATCAATTTCTTTAGAAACAAATAGATCCTAAAATCATCGCAAAGGAGCGACAGAAAGGGGGTGTCCATGGCCTAATAGCCATGCCCAGCCTTTCCCATTACCAGCATGAGCCAAATAGTCTTCGACAAGGCTTTGACAGAAAGTTCAGACATTTGTGTCCAATGTAAAACCTATGTGGTAGTTGATCAAGAGATGGAGATAAGGCAAGGAAAACAAGCTCTGGCTACTTGACAAGAGATAGCCAGGCCACGCTCCAGGCTACCAGATAATCAACATCTAACCACAGAAATTAATCAATAGTTTCAGTATTGACCAGAATTAAATTACTGCAAAACCAAAAGTCTGGAACCATGAAAACTATTTCTTCTGAATCAAAGCAAACATCGCTCCACCGGTTTGTAACCAGTAAGCAGTAATCTGTCAGAAAAATAAGAAGAATACAACCAGATGCGGAGTTTATACCAGTACTTTGTCAAGAAATCAATGCTAAGATTACGAACTGAATAATGCTGCAACAATAGAATTTTATGAAATGAATAGTTTAATTTAGAGACTAAATTGACCTTGGAGTTCTCAGGGATGTCGTAGTTGATCACTAGATCCACCTGAGGTATGTCAAGACCTCTACTCATCAGACCAGTGCACACAAGTATGTCACATTCTCCAGCCTTAAACTTGTTTAGAGCTCCTAGTCTCTTTGCCTACCACAAAAAAAATAAAATAATGAACGCCCAAGTTCACAAATGATGGGGCAGAAATAAAATTACACGCTGTATTGCACTGAAAAGAGGAGGCAGACCTGGCTGAGCTGTGAACTAATTGGGATAGCCCTCATTCCGAGGTTTCTAAGCAATAAAGCAAGAAGGCGAGTCGAATCACAGGTACGTGTGAAGATCATTGTCATACTCCCAGCCATCTGGGTCAAGATATACACCAGGTAGCAGTCCTGGAATTATACAACATTTATCAAAAATGGGGTATCACCCTGTAAAAGTGGTCTTCCTGGTCGAATCAAGCATAATATTCCAGATAATATATAATAGATACACTTCATAAAAAAGCAGGACCTTCACAAATAAAGCATATCGCAAAATAGGACCCAAATATTAAAATTGGACCCACATAAAGTTGTACCTCAAATAGGACCCAAGTGTACATGTGAACAGAGTAAGATGCTACTCCTGGAAATTTGCATGGTTATTTTCCTCACACTGGTCACCCGGTTTGTCTTCCTAAGAAGAAAATATGAACCAGGAAAATTGTGTTACAGAAAGGGAAATGACCTTGTACTTTGCGGGAACCAAACGGAACTGTTGCTTCAGGGTTTCAACGGTAGAATACTTTGATGAAGCTTCAACCTGAAAAATACAGGAAATATTAGTCCCACTTCAGTTAGTCTCTTAGGCATACTGACCACATAAGACATCCCACACCTTCAACACCGAGAATCGCACACAATATGCAGATGGAAGAGATTACCTTTACGGGACTTCTCAGGCATGCTCTTTGAAGCTTCTTTACCTGAAATAGGCAAGAATTAAGTCAAATGTCCTTTACAGTAGAAGTAAATTTAATTCATATCTTTCCAATGTTCAAGGATGGAACAGAAATAGCAGCATAAGACACGTACTTGCTGTCTTTCTGCCACAACTTGGCTACTAAAAACTGCTTCTAAAAACTAATAGATTTTTAGAGAGAGGGAATACATCATTTAAATGGTGCAAAGCCTAAGGACAGGAGTGTTAACCTTATTAGTCATAGTAGCTGAAAAAAGGAATGTTTTCCTCTCACGAGGAATATTCTTCAAAATTTCATCAATTGCTTTCTCAAATTCTAAGTTCAGCAGCTTATCAGCCTCGTCCAAGACCTAGCAATGAAATGAAAAGAAAATCAAGGATTACTGTGAAAAGGGAAGATAATGAAAAGAGTTGTAAATGCCATAGGATTCTATCTACTTTAGGACCCCATTAAATGTTCTTGCATTTCAAAGTGAGTCCAGGGAAAAACCAAAAAGGCATATATATACACCTTTTAACTCATAGCTTTAACACTGTTGCGTTCAAAATTATGGGACGATGGGAGAATAGAGAAACATGCTGCAACAGCCCCTAGGGGCAAAAATTAGAACGAAAGCATGTGTTGGTAGTGTCAAGATCAGACAAAATGGAGCGTAGCAGATTTTGGAGCATAATCATCTTTACAATAAAGAAAGGGATGATTAATGACTTAAATGTTTCATTTTCTTATTAAGGTCTTATATAAAAGAAGAATAATTTTCATTGAGACAATTTATCTAGTCTTTTCAGTCAGTGATGTTGTATAGGATTTTCCTTGAGAAGCATCTAACACATGAGTTTCTGTATGCATGTTATTAAGAGCATTCAGATTCTACTGAGCTTTATTGTGATGCTAGTGTCTTGTACTAGACTCGGAACATCGAATTCAGATGTTTCTGTAAAAAAATATGAAGCACTTTCATCGTAAAAAGAATGCCTGCAAGAAACACTCTCACATTAAGAAACATGTAGCATCAGATATGATATGCGTGGAGCTACTAATTCAGTAAAAGAAACGGCACTAGTTCTTAAAGCAGAAGCTAAGATCAAACCAAGTATTTTAGTGTCCGAAGGCTGAAATTTTTGGTGTTTGACAAGTGATCCAAGAGGCGGCCTGGAGTTCCCACCTACAAGAAGCAAAACCTTTAGAAAAATATTAAAAAAGAAAAATAACGTCGACTGTATTTTTCTTCAATAACAATTGAACTAGAAGCAAATTGCCAAAGATTTCTTCAGGAACTAGTGAAAAATGAGTTTAGTACATGGTGACATAAGCACAATTGGAAATGAATTTTTACGGGAGTAGAATCACTGTGCAGAAACATAGCAACTCATAGTAGTCCATTGGCTGGGTGCATTAATCTGCACCTCTTATATATTCAGTTGGGTGGGTATAAACAATTTGGTTATTATCAAAATAATTTAGATAGTACATAAACACTAAATTCTGTTGAGACATTCTAATGTCTACTAGAGTGATATCGTTAATAAAAAAACAATTTGAAAATTATCACAAACAACCTGAACACGCAAAAAATGTTTTAAACAGGCAGAGCCTGTGATGAATTAATGCAAGTTAGATTCGCCCTTTGCTGTTTTCCTAAGGTTGATCCATCATTCAATAAAATATCCAGTTCCGTCATAGTAGGTCTAACCTATGTCATGGATGCAAAGCAAAAAAAACACGAAAAAGATTCTCTAATGTTTGCAGGATATATTTTTTATTCCTATCAAGGTACTAACTTTCCAAAACATTCTGGAGGCACTACAGAAGTTCCATATAAACCCCTTAGAAACATTGAACTTTTCCCTATCTGTATTCTGTCTTCTTTTTAGCAATCGACCACCGCAGCACCAGTAGTACTTTACCTAAGGATGAGTATTGTAGTCAGCAGTAGCCTGCCAAGTGCTTTCAATTTAAACATTTAAGTCTAGTCGACAGTAATCTGCTCTTGTACACCAGGTAATGTCTTAATATTTATCCCCAACCTAAAGAGAATGTCCAAAACATCAGACCTTAAAGTTTTATAATGAACTTAGCATTGCGGCAGAAAAATTGTGCGAAATATCAGATTAATTTATAAGCCAAACTTACCACAATGTGAGGCCGCTTAGCAAGAGAAATGGCTTGTTGAACCTTATCTACATTTCCTACAAGCTGCAAACGAGTTGAAAATTCACACAATATCACAGCACATAGCAACATAACAAAACATCTACATGTAACATAGTAAAGTTCGTGACAGAGAAAATTAATTCCAAGACATGCAGACAAATATAATCATTCAAGACATGGAAATAAAGGAAATGCCTCATCGCCAACTGTGAATTAAACAAGCATTAGCAGTGCAACTACTAATAGCATTGAATCCAAAATCTTAGAAAGAATCAGTGTACTACCAGTGGTCATATGAGGCAAAATATAATAACACAAGCTTAATGAGAGGATACAGAGGATCTGATATAGTGCTCATGAAACATATGTGCACTCAATCATATGCGGTCTTCAAAAGAGTAACGACGATACACAAACCCAGTCGGAGGTTTCCATTTCAAGTATAATCCAGGAGCATTGCTTCAGTAGCCAGCTAACAAAAATAAAACATTCTCTAGTGACATTGACTACTGCCCCAGACTTCCACCCATCATCTTTTCCATATCCTTATAAATGCAGGATGATCTTAGTTCTGCCCGAGTAGACAAATTAAAATATTTCCACGACTAAAAACCCTACTATTATGATACTTGTCAACTCTTTTTTAGTACTGCTTCTTGACTAAAGAGGTATAATATCAGCAAGTCATTAAACCATCTGTGAATATAATTTTGTGATTTTATGTGATACATTCCACAAAACAAGCTGTCCAATGCAGATGAACAATGAACTCTATTTGCACAAACTATGAGGTAACTATTTCTATTAAACGTCTTCAATCAATGAAGAGTCAAAACAGAAGATTTTACAAAGTTCCTTTAGACTGTTTTCTGAACATAGGAGGCACCAAGAAGCTCACCACAGCACATTTGACCCCAATGCCAGAACCCAAAGCTTCAAACTGTTCAGCAATTTGGATAGCTAATTCCCTGGAACCATAAGTTTTTAAATACATTAGAATAAAGTGTTACAGGATTCATAAAGCAATGCTAAATCAGCCAATAGCTGCTTTGAACTGACCTTGTTGGAGACAGCACACAAGCAAAGAATGGTTGTGGGTTTTCAAGAAGCGCTTGAAGAATTGGGAGAGCAAAAGCTCCAGTCTTCCCTGATCCAGTTTGAGCAATACCAATGATATCTTTACCTAGTATGGGAGAAGCAAGAGAATATGATCTACAGTTTATAAGGAATGTCTATTTTTGGATTCATCAATAATTCTGAAAGTTAAAAAAGTAAAAGCCATAAAAATTTGACAATATTAGAAATGACAGTGATCATCAGGATCAAGCACACGGTGAAAACAGAATATTACAGATTTTATATGAACATAAAACTAAAGTACAACTTATCTAAAAGACTGTTAAAAACTCTTTTCTGAAAGAACATCGATTGAGAGACCCACCAATTTTCCAACTGAAGTAGATGAATATGACTACGAAATGTCTTGGACATCAAGAAACATTGAAAAAACAATTACATTTTCCATTTCTGAAAAGAACTTTGATTTGTGCATAAAACGACAAGCGAATGTGCAGACAGAAGAAACCAACCATTTACAATACTTGCCAGACTGGTATATGACGATTGGTATACTGCCCTCCTTCTCAACAATGAAAATATGCCCTCTTGGTTAGACCATTCAGTCAGAGTTCTATGATTTTGACTTTTGTGTTCTTGACAAAATCGTTTTCCAATTTTACATCAGCTTAATAGACCACCACAGAAACAGAAAGCTGACAACAAAGAGAGATGAAAAAAGCAAAACAAACCAACATATAAACTTTTTAAAAGTGGGTATAACTTTCTATGACCAAGAGGAGGTTACCTTCAAGAGCATGAGGCAAGCTCTCCATCTGAATCCTGGTTGGGTTTGCCCACCCTAGACTCAGGCATGCCTCTGCAAGCTGTTCACACACACCCAAGCTTCTAAACGTCTTCGGTTCATCCATCTCCTCCATAGTTTGAAAAACTGCAAAAAAATTGATGAATCTGTCATACAATAAGGGAAATTGAAGAATAGAATTAAACGCTACACAGCCTATTATGTTTTTAAATTCCATATTAGATCAGTTATTGCCTGTTTTAGTTGTATTCTTGATCGGGTTGAACAATTGAAAAAAGGAGAGCATGCAAAGGTAATCTGAGAGACATTTTGGATGATGACAAAGGTAGCAAAGGCCTTCATATGGGCCAGATACCTAGGAGTCCAATGAACAACTACCCTCCCTATCCAATCACCCTTTGCTTGTGTATGATTTAGATATGTATTGAAGGTTCAACTACAGTCTGGGAGGGGATTTTTTGAGAAATAAAGAATTGAAAATTGACCTAATAGAAGGAGTCCCGTATGCATAGAGTTTGGCCTTTAACTTACTAGTTCGCCATTATTAAGTCATGCCCAGATTCTCGTTATTTTATATTTCATTGTACAGTCTTTCTTGTCAACTGATACCTGAGGAGACAAGAAATATGTATGCCTGTAGGCTCGAGTATAATTGTATCCCCAGAAAGATAACATAGTTTGCTGTAAATTGATATTTTTCCACCAATCATGTGAATTGAGATTTTTCCTTGAAGGCCTGTTTATGTATCCCCAGAAAGATAACATAGTTTGCTGTAAATTCACATTCAGACTCCAATGAGTTTATATTCTTACATGAAGGTTAATATGAGTTATCTCAGATGGTCACGGGGTTATCTCAACTTAGTTTGTCTCCCTTTGGCTTATTTGATTATTACCATAAAATTATCTCGGGAGAACCATGTACTTCTATTTTGGCCAATGGGCTTACTTGCCAAGCGCTGTAAAAGCATGTCAGAAGCCTCATTTTTCTCTCTTCTTCCTCACTAGCTAATTGGAGAATCCTTGTAAAGTTACACTGGGATCACTGAAAGTTTTTATTATGCTCTTCAGACATTTAGTCCCGAATATGTTTATGTAAAGAAATTTATAAGCTAATATTTCTTTCCAATAGGCTTACTCGCAATTTTCCAAAGCCTTACACTAAGAGCCTTTTTTCTGTTTTTATCTTTGATTGAATTCTCCTTTAGCCCCCTCTAAGACGTTTTCTCTTTGGGGCTTCACTATAATTCGATGCATATGTTTCTTATCAGCATTGGGGCTACAGTCAATGCATATGTTTCTCTATACGTATTAATACAATAATATTCACCAGTGTAAGTTACTGATCTACTATGTCAAAAACCCTCACACTAGGGATGACAGGAATCACCTTACAGAAGGTAGCACTATAACTTGCTGCCTCACATTGACATGATCATTCATCTAACCTTACATCACACATAAATGTGTTTTCCAATAACTTTGGCATAGAAAAAGCTAACATCTCGCTCAGGTTTTAGTACATCTAGGGCAAGCTATTCCAACAATTTCCGAGATTGCTTAATATCCTTACAATTAGCAGTTATTCCCAATATCAAAAACTAGTAGAAACCTAGCTTCTCTGTTGATAAGTTATCACGTGGTACATGGCCGCTGTCCCAAGCTGATTTCTTCTCCACACAGGGTCTTTTATTTCATAGACGCACATCTTGTCACAATTCATCTAGATGCCCTTAAAAAACCTAGTAGTAATAAATGACTGAGCAGCAAACCAAAGCATGTTTTCACAAATTCAATAATGAATTTTTTTCTCTAACTGAGTTTTAAAGATGCTGCAAACATGTTGGTGCTAAATTGATAGAAACATTATAGTAACTGCAAACTGAAAACCCATATAAATGATCAAAAGTAAATGTTAAAGCAGCAATGATATCAAATAGTAGACTTTAATATCCTGAAATGCGTTCATGTAAAATAAATTTAGACTAAAAACTCTAAGATATTGAGAAAAATATTGACGCGTATTATCGATCAATAAAGAAATTCAAAATAAAACTAGTGCCATATGTTGAATGAAAGACATTCAGATATATTTTCGCACATGTTATTTCATATATTCCACAAAGTGAAAAATTACCAGCCCGGCCGAAGAGATGGCTTTCCTCTGCCAGCAGGTGAAGCCCTTCTTAACGAAGACCGTAACGGTACTCGAGGTAGGGAAGACGAGGAGAGAACAGGAGAGGATACAGAGTGAATTCCGTGGAGATAAGAAGACGCGCGGGGAGAGAGTGCCCCGATGAGGGCGACAGAAACGGAGAGGGAGAGAGACGCGCAAGGAGGGAATGCGGCGATGCGAGGGGCGACAGGAAGGGAGAGATGCGGTGGCAAGGAGACCGAGAAAACGTGGAGATAAGGAGATGCGCGGGAGAGAGTGTCCCGATGTGGGGGAGAACAGAAAGGGAGAGGGAGGGAGATGCGCAAGGAGGGAATGCGCCGATGCGAGGGGCAACAGGAAGGGAGACGCGGGAGACGGGCGAGAAACCTAAGCCGCGCGTGTCGGGTTCGAAAGTAGACCGGTGGAGTAAGGAAAAGGGGGGGTACCTTTCATTTCTAAGACTGAAAAAAATGGAGGAATATACTGAAGAAATATATAATGGAACGAGTTTCTAGCCCCAGCAAAGATAAAGATGCAATGAAGGACCATAATGAAGGGATTCATCAATCGCAGAATAAAACCCCGAACGGAAACGGAGCGGAGACACACGATTGTCACAATATAAATTTCTCACATTCGGAGTCAGCACGCTATCGAGTTGTAGATACTATGAAATACTCCTTAAAGCAAGATCATGTGCTTTTCCACAGTATTTGAAATAAAAAGATGGACACGATTAAGAAATCTCCAAATAATTAGTGTGTGCTCCACAGTGAATAAGTCAATCAATTGCAAATCAAGTGGGTTAACACTCGTCACTAACCAGCATGGATATAAAGGGGCCTATCTATGGATCATACAATGGCAATGTTGCAAGATAAAATACTAAATGAACAAAATGTTTCAAATTTAGAAGAAGAGTATTTAGAGATAACCTTGTCACTAGAAGGGGCAATGGTGTAGTGGAGGAGCATGAAGTAAAGCTTAGACCCACTTTTGAAAGTTGATGTTACGTTGATTAATGACCAGGTCGTTGACTATTGACTGAGTACCTTGGTTGACTGGTGGATGAGCTCGAACCAGAGGGTGTGACTGGTGTGGACTAGTAGGTCCAGTGGTAGTCAGATCAGGAGGATGAGCTGGTGTGGATCAATGGTCCGAGATGGTTTGAACCAGGTGGTTGGGCCGGTTCGGTCCAATGTCTCGGGATCTTGTGAACCAGGGCTTTAAGGCCTAACAAGTGGGGGGAGATAAGGGGAAAGGAGGAACACAAATGGGTCATGCCGGGCAGAGGAAAGGAAGGAGACGGAAATGGCGGAAAAGGTGGAATGGATGGAGGCAAAGGTAGGGCTAGTGGCAGTAGTAGCAATGGGGTGGTGACAGGTGGCAGCAGATGGCGGAGGCAAAGGTAGGGTGAGCGGCAGTAGTGGGGAATGGTGTTGGACGGTGGCAGCAGATGGTGGTGGCAATGATGGCACTTGTGTTGATGGATAAGTGGCTGATGAAGACCTGCCAGCTAAACCGTTGATAAACACACTAATTTCTCAAAACAAACATATCTATTAAAATCAGTCTCTAAACATAGGGGTCCGAGACAAATTACAAACTAAAAACATGCTATAAGGATGAAGGGGAAACACTCGACGAGGAACACAAGGAACATAAGGAGGGTAAAATAAGAGAACCAAGACCTCGGAGGTCTTGGGGTCACCGATGCAAGATGGTCATCTGACATTGAAACATGTCTGCATCTGCTGTTATTTTTATTTTCCATGAGAATCCTACCATAACTAATTGCCGGTTATTTTTTTCATATTTAATTGCCATAAAAAATAAATTGTGTCACAATTTTGCCTCCACTCTAAGTCATTCAGCCCCTAATATAACTCATGTCCATTAGTGCTGTGAGGATCACTTCTTGACTATTGTTGGATTGGTTGCTAGGTTCTAGTCTAACAACTGGATCTGATGGAATGTGGTACTTGACATGATCCACCGGTGTCGGTTCATACACTTGTCTTGGGTCATCGCTAGATTGGTCCGCCCCTAGCACCACCTATCTTGTAGGATCCATCATACCATTGTCTTTGATGGAATCTAGTTCAAGTGATCCTCAATCCTATTTAGTTCTTCAGCTAGATCAACTTCTACGTTATTGCTTTTCATGTGGACCAACTTCAATTGATAAGGTTTTAACAATACCCCTCCCTCATTTACACACCATCCTTAAGGTGAAAGCTTGAAAATTACTAAAGGATATCATGAGCATACTCTCATATTGTTGTCTCAGATTGAAGCCTTAATAAGTCTTCATTATCATGAACTAATAATTAATTAATAATATATTTTAAGCCTTAACTCATGATAAATATATTTATACTTATATTAAATTAAAAAAAGTAATTTTTAGTTAATTAATATATTTTTTACTTAATTATGTGATTTTATGTGATTTTACATAATTTTTATAATCATATTTTTGAGATAAATAAAGAAACATAAATTAAACAAAAAAATATAGAAAAATTGGGGACCCCCTAGCTAGTTGGGCCCTCATATAAGTTAGAGGCACAATTGAGGGGAGTCACGAGCTAGGGGTTTGAGTGGCTAAGGATTAGTCAAGACACGTGTGTGTCATTCCCCTTCCACGTCATTGGTGGCTAGTTAGGCATGGGACAAAGAGTGGTTATACACAAATAAAAGATAGTATATTGATGATAAAAATATATATTGATATATATATATATATATTTGTGTTAAATATTAAAAAATAGCTAATGAGACTAAACCTATGCCATGGTCAATGGTAGGTTTTTACTTTTTTATATTGAAAATATTATTGACTTATAAGAAAGAAACACCTCTATGACATTATTAGGTAAAGGTACATAAGTAATTTGTATTTTCTCTCATATAGTCGAGCAATTGAGGAAGGTTCTAATCTCACAAGAGCCAAAAAT